CATTGGAGCTGCTAAACATTGGAGCTGCTAAACATTGGAGCTGTTAAACATTGGAGCTGCTAAACATTGGAGCTGTTAAACATTGGAGCTGTTAAACATTGGAGCTGTTAAACATTGGAGCTGCTAAACATTGGAGCTGTTAAACATTGGAGCTGCTAAACATTGGAGCTGTTAAACATTGGAGCTGCTAAACATTGGAGCTGCTAAACATTGGAGCTGTTAAACATTGGAGCTGCTAAACATTGGAGCTGCTAAACATTGGCTAAACATTGGGGCTGCTAAACATTGGAGCTGTTAAACATTGGAGCTGTTAAACATTGGAGCTGTTAAACATTGGAGCTGCTAAACATTGGCTAAACATTGGAGCTGCTAAACATTGGAGCTGTTAAACATTGGCTAAACATTGGAGCTGTTAAACATTGGAGCTGTTAAACAATGGAGCTGTTAAACATTGGAGCTGTTAAACATTGGAGCTGTTAAACATTGGAGCTGTTAAACATTGGAGCTGCTAAACATTGGAGCTGCTAAACATTGGAGCTGCTAAACATTGGAGCTGTTAAAAACATTGGAGCTGTTAAACATTGGAGCTGTTAAACATTGGAGCTGCTAAACATTGGAGCTGTTAAACATTGGAGCTGTTAAACATGGAGCTGTTAAACATTGGAGCTGCTAAACATTGGAGCTGCTAAACATTGGAGCTGTTAAACATTGGAGCTGCTAAACATTGGAGCTGTTAAAAACATTGGAGCTGTTAAACATTGGAGCTGTTAAACATTGGAGCTGCTAAACATTGGAGCTGCTAAACATTGGAGCTGTTAAAAACATTGGAGCTGTTAAACATTGGAGCTGTTAAACATTGGAGCTGTTAAACATGGAGCTGTTAAACATTGGAGCTGTTAAACATTGGAGCTGTTAAACATTGGAGCTGTTAAACATTGGAGCTATTAAACATGGAGCTGTTAAACATTGGAGCTGCTAAACATTGGAGCTGTTAAACAGCTCCATTGTTTAACAGTGTCTTTCATCTTGTCATCGGGCAGAAGACTTGTTTTCTCATTCCAAATGGCACAAGAACAATTCAAGTCAGAGAAAATATTAAAAAACGGTGAGTCTACTACACTGTAAAAAGTGTCAATCAGAAACAAATAAAATACCGTAAGAGGTTGCATCGGCCTTTTTGAGTCCAATCAACTTCAGCTCTTTTTTAAGTAATAAAGAATGAAAAACAATTACTTTGAAGTGATTGATTTACTTAAAATGTGTGTGTCATTTCAAAGCAAAATAACTTGGAGATGATCAAATACTCAATACTTTTGTGTTCATTCAAAGTGTATCTTTCCCCGACCCGGAGGAAGTTTGTTAGATCTTGTAATCACTATATTGGGCGACACGGTGGCTGAGTGGATAGCACTCTCGCCTCTCAGCAAGAAGGTCCTGGGTTCGAATCCCGGTTGGACCAGGGCCTTTCTGAGTGGAGTTTGCATGTTCTCCCCGTGTCTGCGTAGGTTTCCTCCGGGTGCTCCGGTTTCCCCTACCGCTAAAAATATGTACACCCCTGCTAAACATTGGAGCTGTTAAACATTGGAGCTGTTAAACATTGGAGCTGCTAAACATTGGAGCTGTTAAACATTGGAGCTGTTAAACATTGGTTAAACATTGGAGCTGTTAAACATTGGAGCTGCTAAACATTGGAGCTGTTAAACATTGGAGCTGTTAAACATTGGAGCTGTTAAACATTGGAGCTGCTAAACATTGGAGCTGCTAAACATTGGAGCTGTTAAACATTGGAGCTGTTAAACATTGGAGCTGTTAAACATTGGAGCTGCTAAACATTGGAGCTGTTAAACATTGGAACTGTTAAACATTGGAGCTGTTAAACATTGGAGCTGTTAAACATTGGAGCTGTTAAACATTGGAGCTGTTAAACATTGGAGCTGCTAAACATTGGAGCTATTAAACATTGGAGCTGCTAAACATTGGAGCTGCTAAACATTGGAGCTGTTAAACATTGGAGCTGTTAAACATTGGAGCTGCTAAACATTGGAGCTGCTAAACATTGGAGCTGCTAAACATTGGAGCTGCTAAACATTGGAGCTGTTAAACATTGGAGCTGCTAAACATTGGAGCTGTTAAACATTGGAGCTGCTAAACATTGGAGCTGTTAAACATTGGAGCTGCTAAACATTGGAGCTGTTAAACATTGGAGCTGCTAAACATTGGAGCTGCTAAACATTGGAGCTGTTAAACATTGGAGCTGCTAAACATTGGAGCTGCTAAACATTGGAGCTGTTAAACATTGGAGCTGTTAAACATTGGAGCTGTTAAACATTGGAGCTGTTAAACATTGGAGCTGCTAAACATTGGAGCTGCTAAACATTGGAGCTGTTAAACATTGGAGCTGCTAAACATTGGAGCTGTTAAACATGGAGTGTTAAACATTGGAGCTGCTAAACATTGGAGCTGCTAAACATTGGAGCTGCTAAACATTGGAGCTGCTAAACATTGGAGCTATTAAACATTGGAGCTGTTAAACATTGGAGCTGTTAAACATTGGAGCTGTTAAACATTGGAGCTGTTAAACATTGGAGCTGTTAAACATTGGAGCTGTTAAACATTGGAGCTGCTAAACATTGGAGCTGTTAAACATTGGAGCTGCTAAACATTGGAGCTGCTACTGAAACATTGGAGCTGCTAAACATTGGAGCTGTTAAACATTGGAGCTGTTAAACATTGGAGCTGTTAAACATTGGAGCTGCTAAACATTGTTAAACATTGGAGCTGTTAAACATTGGAGCTGTTAAACATTGGAGCTGTTAAACATTGGAGCTGCTAAACATTGGAGCTGTTTAAACATTGGAGCGTGTTAAACATTGGAGCTGTTAAACATTGGAGCTGTTAAACATTGGAGCTGTTAAACATTGGAGCTGTTAAACATTGGAGCTGTTAACATAACATTGGAGCTGTTAAACATTGGAGCTGCTAAACATTGGAGCTGCTAAACATTGGAGCTGTAAATGAGCTGCTAAACATTGGAGTGCTAAACATTGGAGCTGTTAAACATTGGAGCTGCTAAACATTGGAGCTGTTAAACATTGGAGCTGTTAAACATTGGAGCTGTTAAACATTGGAGCTGCTTAAACATTGGAGCTGCTAAACATTGGAGCTGCTAAACATTGGAGCTGCTAACATTGGAGCTGTAAACATTGGAGCTGTTAAACATTGGAGCTGTTAAACATTGGAGCTGTTAAACATTGGAGCTGTTAAACATTGGAGCTGTTAAACATTGGAGCTGTTAAACATTGGAGCTGTTAAACACATGGAGCTGTAAACATGGAGCTGTAAACATTGGAGCTGTTAAACATTGGAGCTGCTAAACATTGGAGCTGCTAAACATTGGAGCTGTTAAACATTGGAGCTGCTAAACATTGGAGCTGTTAAACATTGGAGCTGCTAAACATTGGAGCTGTTAAACATTGGAGCTGTTAAACATTGGAGCTGTTAAACATTGGAGCTGTTAAACATTGGAGCTGGTTAAACATTGGAGCTGTTAAACATTGGAGCTGTTAAACATTGGAGCTGTAAACATTAAACATGGAGCTGCTGTTAAACATTGGAGCTGCTAAACATTGGAGCTGTTAAACATTGGAGCTGTTAAACATTGGAGCTGCTAAACATTGGAGCTGCTAAACATTGGAGCTGCTTAAACATTGGAGCTGTTAAACATTGGAGCTGTTAAACATTGGAGCTGTAAACATTGGAGACATTGGAGCTGTAAACATTGGAGCTGTTAAACATTGGAGCTGTTAAACATTGGAGCTGCTAAACATTGGAGCTGCTAAACATTGGAGCTGTTAAACATTGGAGCTGCTAAACATTGGAGCTGCTAAACATTGGAGCTGTTAAACATTGGAGCTGCTAAACATTGGAGCTGCTAAACATTGGAGCTGTTAAACATTGGAGCTGTTAAACATTGGAGCTGCTAAACATTGGACTGTAAACATTGGAGCTGTTAAACACTAAATTGGAGCTGTAAACATTGGAGCTGCTAAACATTGGAGCTGCTAAACATTGGAGCTGTAAACATTGGAGCTGCTAAACATTGGAGCTGTAAACATTGGAGCTGCTAAACATTGGAGCTGTTAAACATTGGAGCTGTTAAACATTGGAGCTGTTAAACATTGGAGCTGTTAAACATTGGAGCTGTTAAACATTGGAGCTGTTAAACATTGGAGCTGTTAAACATTGGAGCTGCTAAACATTGGAGCTGCTAAACATTGGAGCTGCTAAACATTGGAGCTGCTAAACATTGGAGCTGCTAAACATTGGAGCTGCTAAACATTGGAGCTGCTAAACATTGAGCTGTAAACATTGGAGCTGTAAACATTGGAGCTGCTAAACATTGGAGCTGTTAAACATTGGAGCTGTTAAACATTGGAGCTGCTAAACATTGGAGCTGTTAAACATTGGAGCTGTTAAACATTGGAGCTGTTAAACATTGGAGCTGTTAAACATTGGAGCTGTTAAACATTGGAGCTGTTAAACATTGGAGCTGTTAAACATTGGAGCTGTTAAACATTGGAGCTGTTAAACATTGGAGCTGTTAAACATTGGAGCTGTTAAACATTGGAGCTGTTAAACATTGGAGCTGTTAAACATTGGAGCTGTTAAACATTGGAGCTGTTAAACATTGGAGCTGTTAAACATTGGAGCTGTTAAACATTGGAGCTGCTAAACATTGGAGCTGCTAAACATTGGAGCTGTTAAACATTGGAGCTGTTAAACATTGGAGCTGCTAAACATTGGAGCTGCTAAACATTGGAGCTGCTAAACATTGGAGCTGCTAAACATTGGAGCTGTTAAACATTGGAGCTGTTAAACATTGGAGCTGCTAAACATTGGAGCTGTTAAACATTGGAGCTGTTAAACATTGGAGCTGTTAAACATTGGAGCTGTTAAACATTGGAGCTGTCAAACATTGGAGCTGTTAAACATTGGAGCTGTTAAACACTGGAGCTGTTAAACATTGGAGCTGTTAAACATTGGAGCTGTTAAACACTGGAGCTGGCCGTACCTTCTCTGAAAGCAGCTCCTCCCATCTGCACACCTGCATAAAACCTCACCTTTCCCATCAGCCGCACAGAGAACGCCGCATTCTTCCAGATCCTGCATCACCTGCAACAACACAAGCGGTGAGTCACATTTATTCGTTTCCATCTACACAATGCTCATGGATGGAACGCACATTTGAACGCCCAGAATTAAATTGTATAAATGCAAGCTAACATACACATCCTTAATGCCATTTGTTGTCATCACAAGAATCTAACACATCAGATTGAGATACCGAGCTCACATCCTGCTCTCTCAATACGCTCTGTATTTTTGGAATCCACAAAAAAAATGTTCAGATCCTTTCCCAAGTCTTATCTTTCACGTGAACAACGGTGCACCTGTCTAGAGCAGGGTCCTTTGTAGTGTTGTGGGAACGCTGCTGCAGGGATCAGGTGACACCCAGACAGAGAGGGTCCCTTCACTGCGACTCTGTCCATGGTACACACCCCGACACGCACTGACGGACCCAGGTTCACTGACGGACCCGACACGCACTGACGGACCCGACACGCACTGACGGACCCGGTTCACTGACGGACCCGAGACGCATTGACGGACACGCACTGACGGACCCGGCTCACTGACGGACCCGACACGCACTGACGGACCTGACACGCACTGACGGACCCGACACGCACTGACGGACCCGACACGCACTGACGGACCCGGCTCACTGACGGACCCGGCACGCACTGACGGACCCGGCACGCACTGACGGACCCGGCACGCACTGACGGACCCGGCTCACTGACGGACCCGGCACGCACTGACGGACCCGACACGCACTGACGGACCCGGCTCACTGACGGACCCGACACGCACTGACGGACCCGGCTCACTGACGGACCCGACACGCACTGACGGACCCAGGTTCACTGACGGACCCGACACGCACTGACGGACCCAACACGCACTGACGGACCCGACACGCACTGACGGACCCAACACGCACTGACGGACCCGACACGCACTGACGGACCCGGCTCACTGACGGACCCGACACGCACTGACGGACCCGGCTCACTGACGGACCCGACACGCACTGACGGACCCAGGTTCACTGACGGACCCGACACGCACTGACGGACCCAACACGCACTGACGGACCCGGCACGCACTGACGGACCCGGCTCACTGACGAACACAAAATGAATGCTTGTCGAACACAGTTTAGCTTATTGTGAAGGTGCACATACTGTTTTTGGCATTACAGAGCTATTAAACTTCTGTGTGTTCTTTATATTCTTATCCTTATGTTGTTATATCTTATGTGAGAAATAAAGAATTCTCATTTGTTTAGGAGAGTCATTTGAATGGTCTCTTAATCAATAAAATTAGGTGTCATTTAATTTCACAAACCAAAATGTCTTTGTGTTAAAAACTACTAAAAATGAGAACATATGGAAACAATTGGCTGAAGATTTGAGTATTTCCTTTGATTTGCCAGATTCAACTTTTTCATTTGCAAATTATCTAACATCAATTATGTCTATATATACAGTTATTTTATTTTTTTCTAATTTTTAATTTTTTTTAATCATAATATTTTAGTATATTATGTATTAGTCGTTTTAGTGAGTAGTTTGTCTCCAATGTTGAAGGCTGGGTCTCAGGGACGGGCAGAAGGGAGAGCTCTGCCTTTAGCTCTTTCCATTATATTTAATGCTGCTTTTTTAAACTTTTGTTAAATTGACCCTTTTTTTAAATTCTCTCTTTTCTGCATTTATGTAAGCGAGCAATTGGACAATACAATTTCCCTCTGGATCAATAAAGTATTGATTTACTGTATATCAAGAGCATTTTTACACAACCCCTTTTTAATTGACCAAACAATCATCAAGAATGTGTTTGGGGAATTTCTTTGGAATTTCAACTCCAGCCGACTAACCTCGACCATATTATAGGACTCACTTCGGTCCGATATTCGTTTTCTCCAATCAACTAGCCAGTCATCTTCCACTTGTAGAATAAAATAGGTTCACAAGAGCTTGTCCTATGAATCTACCTTAAGTTTTTGCGGTAAAATTTGCCATTTCAACAACCATCCCCTCATGTTTCAGAAGAGTCCTCATACATTCAACTGCTGCTGTGAGCTACCGCTATATTCATCTCCTTAAAAGCCTTAGCTGTGGTGAAAGAGTGCAACGACCATCTTCAAATATGCAACACAAGCAAGAGATGGCAATGAAAACGTGAAAATAGTGGTATCATAATCAAAATGTAAGAAAGAAAACAAATTCACCAATTAGTATTTAACTGACAGTAAGACAAGTTAACAGCGGCTTCTGTTTTGGGCTTGAGTGACACTTTTTATCAGAAGCTCCAAAAGCCACTTAGTGAAACCAATATATCGACTCATTACACACAAACATATCCCTAATGACGTGTTAAATATTCTCTTCTGTTTGTTCAAATTCTGTCTCGACAACCGCATTATTCCCTCAGTGTGGAGCAAATCCATGATCAAACCCAAAGCATCAGAAGATGATCCTGGAGTACCACTTAATTATTGAGGAAATGTATTCTAGTTTGTTAAACACTAAACCGAGAGATTTTATTGAAGATAACGAATTGTTTGTAGATGAACAAAATGGATTTAGAAAACACAGAGCATGTATTGACCACTGTTAATGGTCAATACATGCTCTTCGCTGTTCAACTATTGTCAGAATCCGATTGGCTGAAAACAAATCCATATTTCTATGTTTTGTAGACTTTAAAAAAGCCTTTGATTGAGTAAACAGAGGTCTATTGTATTTGAAACTTCTTAAGGCTGGGGTTGATGGAAGAGTTTATAAAGCACTAAAATCATCCAGACTGACTGGTTCCCAATACCCTCCGGTGTAAAACAAGTCTGTCTCAAAACCTGACTTGGCTCTGGGAATAAAACCTCTGAACATGGGTATCCGTATGGACTCTGACACAGCAGCCATTTGCTTTATGCTGATGATGTTGCACTCATGGCTGAAACAGAAGAGGATTTGCAGACTGTGTTAAACGTGTGACAAGACTGCTCTTATAAATGTAAACTTTCCATAAATCAAACTAAAACTCAGATTGTTCATTTTAGGAGGAAGTTAATTTCATTAAGCAGAAATGTTCTCTCGCTCGGTGACATAGCACTGGAATGTGTCCCTGAGTATAAATACCTGGGTTTCACATTCAATAAGCGTATGAGTTTTGAGCGTGGAGTCAAAGTTCTTGCTGACTCTGCCAGCCGTGCTTAGGTTCTGATAAACAAATGTAAAGAATGTAAAGATCAGAAGAATCAGAATCATTTTTATTGCCACGTAAGCAGTGATGGGAATAACGGCGTTACTAACGCCGTTACTTTTTTCAGTAATGAGTAAGCTAACGAATTACTTTGACTGTAACTATAACGCCGTTATCATTTCCGACATCCCGTTACTGCGCGTTACTCAAGAAGCACAATGAACTTCTTTTTACTTCATGATAGGACCCTGTTGTCATGAGAGAAGGGAGGATGAGAAAACCTCTCAGATGTCATTGGCTGATGTAAAACATATTTCCTTTACAGTCTACATGTCTACAGTTGAGAGGACGGTCATAAAGTGTGTTTTTGAAACAAATGGGTCTTAATCAGACTCTACCACGGCTTGTATCACCGTGAGGCCTCAGAGGAGCTCATGTGAGCGCAGAAGGCTGCATACAATTCCATCAGAAAGCTCCTTTCTCCTCCTGGTTTATCTGCTAAGGACAGCAACAGGTTTGGCTAACATACATATAACACATTTTAAGATAATTTAAAATGCACTTAGGGTAATTTTCAATGACTATAGGAACGATAAGAAAGAGGTGAAGTGTAAGACGGTTGATTTTAGAAATTGGATGCAGCCGGCTGCAGCAAAACAGAGGAGTTTATGGAGGACACACGCGTTTTGTTTTACTTTTTAAAACTCATTGGACTCATTTCCAAACGGAGGATTACGTATCTACGCTCAAACTATTATCTGGACTTAAACATGGAACTGGTCTGAACCGAAGTGGTCTGTGCAGGTCATTTATAAGGTAAGACCCATAACTCATAGTTTTGCGTTTTGTTTGAACAAACAATGCATGAAACATATTTTTCTGTAGCCAAACAAAGTGTCCACTTGATTTATATGATATATATATATATATATATATATATATATATATATATATATATATATATATATATATATATATATATATATATATATATGTTCATCTGATTGGGCTGAAGTCAGTGCTTCACAGTGGCGGGTGTTGGTGTTTAGTGCTTACACAGAGACAGATGAAGAGTGAACAGGACTTCAGCAGAAAAACAGACTTTTCTAGATGGAAATATCAGCACTATTTAAACTCACTGAGGTTAAAGGTTAAAGGTCAACATGTGCACCTCGAGAGCACATTATGTTCCAGAACAAAACGAAAAAGTAACGCAATAGTTACTTTTACTGGTAACTAGTTACTTTTATAGTGGAGTAACTCCGTTAGTAACTCAGTTACTTTTTGGGAGAAGTAACTAGTAACTATAACTAATTACTTTTTCAAAGTAACGTGCCCAACACTGCACGTAAGTAACAGGAAGTCACAGACTTGGAAATTTCTTTGGCTCAGTGCAACAGTCAGAAAGAGATAATAAAAATAAAGAATAAAAAAACACTTCTAAAGAATACATTTACATTTAAAATAGAGTTACAGTTACTATTTACAATATACAAGTGCACATGGTGCACACAATGTAAGGTGACAGCAGTACAGTGAAGTAAAGTGACGTATGATGGGCAGGAAAGTGACTTTATAAAGGGCGGGGGGACAGGTTAAGAAGTGTTCAAGAGTCCAACAGCAGAGGGGAAGAAACTGTTCTTGTGGCGGGAGGTTCTAGTCCTGATGGACCGCAGCCTCCTGCCTGAGGGGAGTGGTTGGAATAGTCCATGTGCAGGTGAGAGGGGAGTGGTTGGAATAGTCCATGTGCAGGTGAGAGGGGAGTGGTTGGAATAGTCCATGTGCAGATGAGAGGGGAGTGGTTGGAATAGTCCATGTGCAGGTGAGAGGGGAGTGGTTGGAATAGTCCATGTGCAGGTGAGAGGGGAGTGGTCGGAATAGTCCATGTGCAGGTGAGAGGGGAGTGGTTGGAATAGTCCATGTGCAGGTGAGAGGGGAGTGGTTGGAATAGTCCATGTGCAGGTGAGAGGGGAGTGGTTGGAATAGTCCATGTGCAGGTGAGAGGGGTCGGCTGTGATACGACCAGCCCGGCCTCGAGCTCGGGCGACGTACAGGTCCTGCAGCGATGGAAGGCTGCGGCCGATCACTTCCTCTGCAGAGCGCACAATGCGCTGTAGTCTCTGTTTGTCCCTGACTGTGGCTCCAGCGAACCACACGGTGATGGAGGAGGTGATGGAGGAGGTGATGGAGGAGGTGATGGAGGAGGTGATGAAGGAGGTGATGAGGAGGTGATGGAGGAGGTGATGGAGGAGGTGATGGAGGAGGTGAGGGAGGAGGTGATGGAGGAGGTGATGGCGGAGGTGATGGAGGAGGTGATGGCGGAGGCGATGGAGGAGGTGAAGGAGGAGGAGGTGATGGAGGAGGTGATGGAGGAGGTGATGGAGGAGGTGATGAAGGAGGTGATGAGGAGGTGATGGAGGAGGTGATGGAGGAGGTGATGGAGGAGGTGATGGAGGAGGTGATGGCGGAGGTGATGGAGGAGGTGATGGCGGAGGCGATGGAGGAGGTGAAGGAGGAGGTGATGGAGGAGGTGATGGAGGAGGTGATGGAGGAGGTGATGGAGGAGGTGATGGCGGAGGTGATGGAGGAGGTGATGGAGGAGGCGATGGAGGAGGTGATGAGGAGGTGATGGAGGAGGTGATGGAGGAGGTGATGGAGGAGGTGAGGATGGACTCGATGATGGCCGTGTAGAACTGCAGCTTGGCTTTCCTGAGCTGCCGCAGGAAGTACATCCTCTGCTGGGCCTTCTTGATGAGGGAGCTGATGGTCGGCTCCCACTTGAGGTCCTGGGTGATGGTGGTGCCCAGGAAACGGAAGGACTCCACAGAGGTGATGGGGGAGTCCATCACGGAGGGTGGGGGCGGGGGGACAGTGCTCTTCCTGAAGTCCACAATCATCTCCACTGTCTTCTGGGCGTTCAGCTCCAGGTTGTTACCACTGCACCAGGACACCAGCCGGTCCACCTCCCTCCTGTAGGAGACACCAGGACACCAGCCGGTCCACCTCCCTCCTGTAGGAGACACCAGGACACCAGCCGGTCCACCTCCCTCCTGTAGGAGACACCAGGACACCAGCCGGTCCACCTCCCTCCTGTAGGAGACACCAGGACACCAGCCGGTCCACCTCCCTCCTGTAGGAGACACCAGGACACCAGCCGGTCCACCTCCCTCCTGTAGGAGACACCTGGACACCAGCCGGTCCACCTCCCTCCTGTAGGAGACACCAGGACACCAGCCGGTCCACCTCCCTCCTGTAGGAGACACCAGGACACCAGCCGGTCCACCTCCCTCCTGTAGGAGACACCAGGATACCAGCCGGTCCACCTCCCTCCTGTAGGAGACACCAGGACACCAGCCGGTCCACCTCCGTCCTGTAGGAGACACCAGGACACCAGCTGGTCCACCTCCCTCCTGTAGGAGACACCAGGACACCAGCCGGTCCACCTCCCTCCTGTAGGAGACACCAGGACACCAGCCGGTCCACCTCCCTCCTGTAGGAGACACCAGGACACCAGCCGGTCCACCTCCCTCCTGTAGGAGACACCAGGACACCAGCCGGTCCACCTCCTCCTGTAGGAGACACCAGGACACCAGCCGGTCCACCTCCCTCCTGTAGGAGACACCAGGACACCAGCCGGTCCACCTCCCTCCTGTAGGCGGACTCATCGTTGTTGGAGATGAGTCCAACGAGGGTGGTGTCGTCCGCGAACTTGATCAGCTTCACGGAGTCGTGGCTGGAGGTGCAGTGGTTGGTGTACAGGGAGAAGAGCAGGGGAGAAAGAACACAGCCCTGTGGGACTCCTGTATTTATAATCCGAGAGTCCGAGACATTCTTCCCCAGACGCACTCGCTGCTTCCTGTCCGTCAGGAAGTCAGTGATCCACCTGCAGGTGGAATCGGGCACATTGAGCTGGGAGAGCTTGTCCTGGAGCAGGGATGGCAGGATTGTGTTGAAGGCAGAGCTGAAGTCCACGAACAGGACTTCAGGCGAACAGGCGTAGGTCCCCGGGGAGTCCAGGTGCTGTAGGATGTGGTGAAGGGCCAGGTTAATGGCGTCATCTACAGATCTGTTGGCTCTGTAGGCGAACTGCAGGGGGTCCAGGAGGGGGGAGGTGAGGGACTTGAGATGGGAGAGAACCAGGCGTTCAAATGACTTCATGACGACAGACGTAAGTGCTACAGGTCTGTAGTCATTGAGTCCTGTGATCCTGGGCTTCTTCGGGACGGGGACAATGATGGAGGATTTGAAGCAGGCTGGGACATGGCAGGACTGCAGAGAGGTGTTGAAAATGTCAGTGAACACAGGAGTAAGCTCACTGGCGCAGTGTCTCAGAGTGGCCGGAGACACGTGGTCCGGGCCAGGAGCTTTGCGGGGGTGCAGCCTCAAGAAGAGTTGTTTAATCTCTTTAGAGGCTATTGTCAGGCCGGGGGCAGGGCTGATGGGTGGGTCGTTAGAGTAGTGGGGGGTGGGGGAGGGAGAGGTGTCAGGGGCAGCATCAAAGCGACTGAAAAATAAGTTCAGATCGTCAGCTAGCTTGTGGTCATCAGCACAGGGGGGGGCTTTGGGTTTGTAGTTGGTGATCTCCCGTAGGCCCCTCCAGACAGAAGCAGTATCGTTGTTACCAAACTGCTCCTGTAGTCTCTGTGCCGGGACTTGGCTGCTTTCAGTTCTCTCCTGAACTGATATTTAGCTGCTTTGTAGCCGCTGCGGTCCCCCTCCCTGAAAGCAGACTCCTTTGCTTTCCTGAGCTGCCGGAGTTTAGCAGTGAACCAGGGTTTGTCGTTGTTATAGATGACCCTGGTCCTTGTTGGAATGATGCTATCCTCACAGAAGTGAATGTATGACGTCACAGTGTCCGTGTATTCATCCAAACTATCTGTGGCAGCTCTGAAAAGGTCCCAGTCTGTAGATTCCATGCATGCAGCTCTTCCACAGCTTCATCAGACCACACTTTGGAGCTCCTCACTGCAGGTTTCGAGAGCTTTAGTCTCTGTCTGTAAGCAGGAACCAGATGTATCATGGAGTGATCTGAGAAGCTGAGGGCTGCTTTGGGAACAGCACGAAAAGCTCCGCGCACGGTGGTGTAGCAGTGATCCAGAGTGTTCTCCTCTCTGGTCGGGCATTTGATAAACTGTCTGTATTTGGGTAATTCCTGGCTCAAGTTTCCCTTATTAAAATCCCCTAGGATAATAATCAGAGAGTCCGGGTATAAACGTTCCATACACAGTACTTGCTCTGCGAGTGCGCGCTGAGCCTCGTGCACGTCCGCGCATGGCGGTATGTAAACAGAGGCAAGAATGAATGAAACAAACTCACGCTGGGAGTAAAATGGTTTACAATGGATGAAAAGATATTCCAGAGCAGGAGAGCAGTGCTTGGAGATCACTGTCACATCGTTACACCAGTTTGTATTGACGTAGAAACACAGCCCACCGCCTCTGCTCTTCCCTGAGAGCGCACAATGGCGATCCGTGTGGAACAGCCCAAAGCCCTGCAGCTCCAGAGCACAGTCCGGGATCCACTCATTTAGCCAGGTCTCAGTGAAGCAGAGGACACAGAGGACACCAGGTCTCAGTGAAGCAGAGGACACAGAGGACACCAGGTCTCAGTGAAGCAGAGGACACAGAGGACACCAGGTCTCAGTGAAGCAGAGGACACAGAGGACACCAGGTCTCAGTGAAGCAGAGGACACAGGATGAAGTCCTTGTTTCTTCTCATGAGCAGGCTGAGTTCGTCTTATTGCCCAGTGAGCGTACGTTGGACAGAAAAATGCCGGGGAGAGGCTCCTCTCCTCCTCAGACGCACGAGCAGCCTCCACGCTTTCCCCTTTTACGGGCCCACACTTTTTTGGCTAGAACATGGACTAAATCAGCCGCAGATGCCAAGAAAACAGGCAATAGGTCCATGGGGACGGTGGGTCGGATGTTCATAAGTTCCTCACGGGTGTAGGAACAGCCAGATGCGCAGTTAAAAAGTAAAAATTAAAGAAAAAGAGAGCAGCAAAGAGCCGTGTCGACCGTACGAGGCGCCATCTTACGAGGTGCCATGTGTTTCTCCTGTTCTAAACTCTGCTGCTGGTGTTTGGGACAGACAGTATTCAGCCTTGGATGCTGTAGAAAACAGAGCAATCTGCTTCTTTTTGGGAGTCCACAAGTTTGTTCCTGTTCTGGCAGCGCAGGGGGATATGGGCTGTGTTCCTGGCACAGTCCAAAGAAAATGTGACATGGTTAGATTGTGGAATCGAATCATTAATATGCCAGACAACTGATTAACAAAAAAGGTCCATGTCACCCTGGGCTGAAGCTTCGATCTGTGTTTGCTGGAGCACAACTTCAACATGTTTTTCATAACAATCTGCCATTCAGCATCAACAGCATTAGAGCAAAATCAGTGGCCAATTTTGAAGGACAGTGGCTACATGGAATTTTTACAAAACCTAAACTAAGAACATATATTCAGTTAAAAGAACATTTCAAAACAGAGTTTTACGTCTCAGCAAATCTGTCCAGGAATCAGAGATTTGTGATGGCTCAGTTACGCAGCTTAGCTTTAGACACGGGGATGTTTTCACAGACCCCTGAGGAGCAGAGACTGAGTGTATTTTGTGAACTCAATGAAGTTGAAAGTGAAGTGCATTTTTTGTTATATTTTCATTTTTATGATGAATTTAGAAACGCGTTGTTTCATGAAACGTTCTCCCGGGATCTGGATTTATTTTGGTGCAATGACGACGACAACATGACATTTGTATTTGAAAATCAAGTGTTTAAATGTTCTTAATTTGTAAGTACAGCCTGAAAGAAGACTCATTTATTTAAATGAGAGCATATGTTTGATTTTGTCTATGTGCTGATGTTGGCCTGTGTCTCTGTATTTGTGTTGAGGGTGTCTTATAAGCCCATGTGGGCTGGGCATCCTTGTATGCAAGACACTCAAATAAAATAAAAATATCTTTCTATCTATCTATGACAAGCCTTTATTTAGGGTTTTTACAATCCGTGAGCCATAATTATCAACCCTATAACAAATAAGGGCTCGATATATCTCTATCATATATTAGTCTCACATTGAAGCTGACTTTTGAACAATATTCTAATTTTCCAAGATTCACATAAATGTAGTATATCACCAATATTTTATGAAACAGTGTTTGTAAGTAGTAAGTAGTGTTTATTTTATATAGTATTTTAACAGACCAAAGCCCCAACCAACACCATCCATTCACTCACTCATTAAAAAAAAAAAAAAAAAAAAAAAAAAAAAAAATTTTTTTATTTATACCGCCTTTTCACTGCAGATCAGAGTCTCAAAGCGGTTTACAATTGTTAATTTTTGGGCATTTGTCTCTCACTCCACACAGAGATGGGAGCGGGGTCGCCAGTACAGGAGGCATATGCCAGAACTATTGTACATATTTTTAGTGGTAGGGGAAACCAGAGCACCCGGAGGAAACCTACGCAGACACGGGGAGAACATGCAAACTCCACTCAGAAAGGCCCTGGTCCGACCGGATTCGAACCCAGGACCTTCTTGCTGAGAGGCGAGAGTGCTATCCACTCAGCCACCGTGCCGCCCATTACATCATCATTACATCTAATGTTTAAAAAAAGATCTAGTCTCAAGGGCATTTATCTAAAATTTAGTTTTACACTACTATTATTACAATCAACTATGGCACTTAAGAACATTTATACCTATCCATTTCAGATCTGTCATGGCCTCCAGCATGTCCATGAGAAACTTCTCCGTGACACGCCAGCCCTCCTTCTCCTGTCGCTCTTTGATGGAGACCAGCCGGGCTCGCTCTCGGGCCTCTGTCTCCTTCACCCCCAACAAGCTGACCCGCTCAGCCTCCATCGGCCAAGATTTAAATGGTCCAATCAGCCACCAGCTAAATGGACTCCATGGCAACAGTGCCAACGATAAGGAGGCCATGCAGAGTCTGAACAGCCGCCTGGCAAGCTACTTAGACAAGGTTTGTGCTTATCTTGTTCACAAAACCATTCACACATTTGGACTTGTTGGACATGTTTACAATTCTGTGATGAATATCAAACTTTTTAGGTTTATTGAAAGGTACTCTATCTATGTATTCTATAATGTATACAATAACTTTAATAAAAATTTTCTTTTTCTTTCTTTTACATTAATTGAACTTGATGCGGTTTTGAGTGTCCAAAACCATAAAATGGATGCATTATCATTATCATTATTATAACTACTTAATCTATCTATTAGATCTATTAGACCAGGAGGAATAGGCACAGCTTGTCAACATTGCCCATGTTTGCCCTCTCCTGTGCAGGTGCGAACACTGGAGCACTCCAATGCAGACCTAGAGAACAAGATCAAACAGCTGATGCTTGACCGCATTCCCAAAGGCCACGACCTCGACGCCATGATGTCCCAAGCTCATGCCGTAGAACAGGAGGTTAGTTTCTTAAGAGGACACAGAGAAAAGACTATGTAAAAATGGATAAATACATAGAGAGAAAGATAGATACTAATCCCCGTATCTACCATATAAACATATAAAGGAATAATTCTAAAAGGTCACAGCAGCAGAGGTGGTGTAGCTGCTGGGTGGAGCAGGACGGGTCACAGCAGCAGAGGTGGAGTAGCCTCTGGGTGGAGCAGGACAGGTCACAGCAGCAGAGGTGGAGTAGCCTCTGGGTGGAGCAGGACGGGTCACAGCTGCAGAGGTGGAGTAGCCTCTGGGTGGAGTAGGACGGGTCACAGCTGCAGAGGTGGAGTAGCCTCTGGGTGGAGCAGGACAGGTCACAGCTGCAGAGGTGGAGTAGCCTCTGGGTGGAGCAGGACGGGTCACAGCTGCAGAGGTGGAGTAGCCTCTGGGTGGAGCAGGACAGGTCACAGCTGCAGAGGTGGAGTAGCCTCTGGGTGGAGCAGGACGGGTCACAGCAGCAGAGGTGGTGTAGCCTCTGGGTGGAGCAGGACAGGTCACAGCAGCAGAGGTGGAGTAGCTGCTGGGTGGTTCTCTGCCCTGGTTTAGAGTAAAATTTAGACAGCTTTATTAGCATTCAAATACAATACAATTTACAATACAATTTATTCTTGTATAGCCCTAGGTCACAACAGAAGTCATCTCAGAGACTTAACAAAACCATTGAAATCACCAACACAGGTCAGAGAATCAACAGTTAAAACACATGAAGAATATAAAGCACACACAGAAGAAAATGTCCATACATGTTGTAGAATGCTAAAGTGTCCTGATCATCACCAATCCTTTCTGTTGGACACTAACTGTCCAACAAGACCCTCCTGCGTCGACAAGGAAAAACTCTTAAAAAACCCAGTGGGAAAAAGTGAGAAACCTTGGAGGAGAACTAGGGAAACCCACAGGGAGGGAGACACATATGAGAAAGGGATCCGCTCCTCCGGACGGACAGACTAATGATCTAGGACCTAAGCTAGCTACAGGACGTGGACCAGTGGACGCTGAACGTGGACAGGTCCGGTGCAGGACTGAAGCACTCCCAGGCGGGTCGGGCGGGGCAGTCCGCAGGTGTAGATGGAAGAGGCCAGGCTCAGAGATCCCGTCATCGTACCATGAAACAGACAATGGGACAACGGGTGAATAGCAATGAACAAACTACAGTCAGAATCCTAAAAATGCTAAACAGATAAAGTAGGAAGGAGGAGAGGATAGTGCTCAAGTTACCATACTTCTCCAGCAAACTGACTCCCTATGCAGCTTGACTGACAGTCTGAGGAGTTTAACCTTCTCCGAGTCTTACCTTCCTAGCCATATGCTAAACTAAAGAGGACTGTTTTAAACCTAGCCTTGAATAAAGAATAACATACAGCATAATATATAACATAATATACAACATAACACAATACATTATTGAATAATATATAACATAATATATAACATAATACAGCATATATATATAATATATACACTACATATTATATATTACCTAATTATATGCTAAATTAAAGTAAAGTGCTTTAAGCCTGGCCTTGAATGTGGAGACCGTATCTGCTTCCTTAACATAAATGAAGCTGATTCCACAGTAAAGGAGCTTGGAGCTAAATGCTCTGCCACCAACAGTGACCTTTGAGACCTTAGGAACCACCAGACGTCTGGCGTTTTGTGAGCGCAACGCTCGACCTGGTTGATACGACACTAACGTGTCTTGGAGATAAGAAGGAGCCAAGCCATTTATGGCTTTATATGTTAAGAGTAGGATTTTAAACTTTATTCTGTACTCCACAGGAGCCAGTGGAGTGATTTTAACACCGGAGTTATGTGCTCCCTCCTTTTGGTACCTGTTAAGATCCTAGCTGCTGTATTCTGAACGAGCTGGAAGCTCTTCAAAGAGGCTTTAGGGCACGCTGCCAGTAAAGCGTTACAGTAGTCGAGCCTTGAGGTGACAAACGCGTGAATGAGTTTTTCCGCGTCACTTTTAGGAAGGAAATTCCTAATTTTAGCGATGTTCCGTAAGTGGAAGTACGCCGTTTTAGTTGCTTGGCTTATATAAGCCTTGAAGGAGAGTTCTTGGTCAAAAATGACTCCAAGATTCCTCACAGTGTTACTGGGTATTATACTGACATTATCGAGAGTAACCATCTGGTTAGTGAGGGAGTCACGCAGGCGCTTCGGACCGAGTAGGATCACTTCTGTCTTCTCCGGGTTGAGAAGTAGGAAGTTAAGAGTCATCCACATTTTAAGGTCCTTTATGCAGCACTGAGCTTTTCTAGCTGATCTGTCTGATTAGGCTTCATCGACAGCTGTGTGTCATCTGCATAGCAGTGGAAATTAATTCCATGCTTTTTAATAATGTTTCCCAGTGGCAGCATGTAGAGAGTAAAAAGAATCGGTCCGAGTACCGAACCCTGCGGCACACCGAATTCCACTCCAGAATAAGGCGACGAGTCCTGATTCACATTGACGAAGTGATATCGATCTGATAAATAGGATTTAAACCAGCCAAGGGCTGTTCCTCTAAGACCTATATCACATTCTAGCCTCTGCAGTAGAATGCTGTGGTCTATTGTGTCAAATGCAGCACTAAGGTCCAGTAGGACCAGCACTGACACTTGTCCATTATCGGCAGCTAGTAGTAAGTCATTTGTGACTTTGACTAGTGCCGTTTCAGTGCTATGATGAGCTCTGAATCCTGATTGAAAGACTTCAAACATATCATTTTCCTGCAGGTGGCAGCGGAGCTGCTCAGCTATAAGTTTTTCCAGGACTTTAGATATAAAAGTGAGGTTTGAGATCGGTCTGTAGTTTGTAAGTATTTCTGGGTCCAGGTTTGTTTTCTTCAGAAGGGGTTTGATTACCGCGGTTTTAAAAGCTTGTGGGACATAGCCACATTGTATGGATGCGTTTATTATATTTACGATAGGCTCAATTATCAAAGGAAGTATGTCTTTGAAGAGCCATGTCGGGATTATTGGGGTGTCCATTATTATTTTTCAAACCACCAGTAATAATCGGGTAAATATGTCAAATGATGTCCGAATGCAGTGTGTCTGTATAATAGGTTATACAGTACTCTAAATAACAATATTCATCAATGTATGTCCTTCCTGATCCAGACCATTCTTTTCAAAGCATAATATCATATCATATTAGCATATTCATTACATTTGTCTATTTCCTCGAACAGAAAGAGACATTGTTGAAGCATCTTATCCTTGTCACTGTTAATGTTTGTCAGGTGAGGAGGAAGACCTTGGAAAATGCTCGCCTCATGTTAGAGATTGATAATGCTAAACTGGCTGCTGATGACTTCAGAATCAAGTAAGTGTTCAACTGTGACACTTAAAGCTGAGGTGATTGACTTTCAAACCACTAAAAACTTTAACTGTGTTCCATGTGTTTGTTCCTGGCTCTCAAAACAGTCCAACAATCACTAGCATGTCTTTTGGCATCAGTCACATTTTTATCAGTTTTCTCAATACAGCTCCCAGCTCACACATGACTTTCTGCAGAAAACAAAACGTATTATTTAAGGAAAAAAGGTAGGTACTTTACTGGTTACTGGAATAATGAGATCTGTGTTGTGAAGGGAGCCCACTGTATTGATAGCAGGCAGATACAGTGCCTTGCGAAAGTATTCGGCCCCCTTGAACCTTTCAACATTTCACCACATTTCAGGCTTCAGATATAAAGATATAACATTTTAATTTTTTGTCATGAATCAACAACAAGTGGGACACAATCGTGAAGTGCAACGAAATGTATTGGATAATTTAAACTTTTTTAACAAATAAAAAACTGAAAAGTTGGGCGTGCAATATTATTGGGCCCCTTTACTTTCAGTGCAGCAAACTCAGTCCAGAAGTTCAGTGAGGATCTTTGAATGATCCAATGTTGTCCTAAATGACTGATGATGATAAATAGAATGCACCTGTGTGTAATCAAGTCTCCGTATAAATGCACCTGCTCTTTGATAGTCTCAGGGTTCTGTTTAAAGCGCAGAGAGAACCATGAAGACAAAGAAACACACCAGGCAGGTCCGAGATACTGTTGTGGAGAAGTTTAAAGCCGGATTTGGATACAAAAAGATTTCCCAAGCTTTAAACATCTCAAGGAGCACTGTGCAAGCAATTATATTGAAATGGAAGGAGTATCAGACCACTGCAAATCTACCAAGACCCGGCCGTCCCTCCAAACTTTCATCTCAAACAAGGAGAAGACTGATCAGAGATGCAGCCAAGAGGCCCATGATCACTCTGGATGAACTGCAGATAACTACAGCTGAGGTGGGGATGGTGTGTTCAGGGTGATGAGCTGTGTTGCTTTTACGCCAAACATATCGTTTTGCATTGTGGCTAAAAAGTTTGATTTTGGTTTCATCTGACCAGAGCACCTTCTTCCACATGTTTGGTGTGTCTCCCAGGTGGCTTGTGGCAAACTTTAAGAGACTTTTATTGGATATCTTTGAGAAATGGCTTTCTTCTTGCCACTCTTCCATAAAGGCCAGATTTGTGCAGTGCACGACTGATTGTTGTCCTATGGACAGACTCTCCCACCTCAGCTGTAGTTATCTGCAGTTCATCCAGAGTGATCATGGGCCTCTTGGCTGCATCTCTGATCAGTCTTCTCCTTGTTTGAGATGAAAGTTTGGAGGGACGGCCGGGTCTTGGTAGATTTGCAGTGGTCTGATACTCCTTCCATTTCAATATAATTGCTTGCACAGTGCTCCTTGAGATGTTTAAACCTTGGGAAATCTTTTTGTATCCAAATCCGGCTTTAAACTTCTCCACAACAGTATCTCGGACCTGCCTGGTGTGTTCCTTTGTCTTCATGGTTCTCTCTGTGCTTTAAACAGAACCCTGAGACTATCAAAGAGCAGGTGCATTTATACGGAGACTTGATTACACACAGGTACATTCTATTTATCATCATCAGTCATTTAGGACAACATTGGATCATTCAAAGATCCTCACTGAACTTCTGGACTGAGTTTGCCACTGAAAGTAAAGGGGCCCAATAATATTGCACGCCCCACTTTTCAGTTTTTTATTTGTTAAAAAAGTTTAAATTATCCAATAAATTTCGTTCCACATCACAATTGTGTCCCACTTGTTGATTCATGACAAAAAATTCAAATGTTATATCTTTATGTTTGAAGCCTGAAATGTGGCGAAATGTTGACTACTTTCGCAAGGCACTGTAACAGCGCCATATAAACTCATTACATTATGAACTTTTGAGGTGGGAGACGGAGCTGGTGATGTGCCAGTCTGTTGAGCGCGACTGTGTGGCTCTGAAAAAGGCTAAAACGGACCATGAACAGATCATCTCCAGCCTTAGAGGAGACCTGGACAGCCTGAAGGAGGAGCTCTACTTCCTCAAGAAAAACCACGAGGAGGTCAGTCAATCCATCACCTCTCTCATTTATCAAGCTCTCACACAGAACAAGATATCTGCCTGACCCACTTAAGCCCTCAAGAGGTCCTTTTAGAAAACGGCAGAGTAACAGGAACAGGGTAGGGGGTGAGGTAAAGGGGGAGTGGCCTTCAAGTTACTGCAAACAAAAGAGATCTGGTTTCCCACATCTGAAGGGGTTCTTAAGGTTAAAGTTAAAGTTGTATGCCTTTTATTTATGGAAAGTCACCTTGTAAAAGTTGTTGTTTTTAGTCAGTTTTGTTAAATAATCTGGTTTGATTTCTTGTTATCTCTTGTGTGGCCTGAACAGGACACCTTCTATACAGTGACCAAGCTTCACACAAATGTTTCCCTAAATTTGTTCTTTTATCGATTTTTGTTATTGATTACACTAGTGCACTCTAGTCTTATATAGTCTCAGGGCTCCACCTTTTGTTTGGTTGAATAAAAAATAAATAAAAAAAGCTTAGTGCCTAAAGGCTATTTTATTAACCATTAAATGATACAGGTCAAGTTTTAGAATGTAAAATACTATCTGATGTAGAAAGTTTTGTTTGAATGTAAGTTTTTCCCTCTCAAAGATGAAAATGACCCTCCACAAAGATAACCATGCTAGGTTTTATTTTTGATGATGAGCAATGTTGTAAAAAAGTAAATTTTCCTTTAAAAGTCAATTACTAAAATATTGTTTTCTTTCTGCTCTACATTATTTCGCAAATCCTCCAAATTACAGACAGGGCTGTGCCGTAGGTCAACTCTCTGTCCTTTAATTAATAAAGGTCAAAATCTCATATCACATCCATCACCCAGTTTAAACACGTCACAATGCAACGGGAAGCTGTAAATACCCTCTCTGTTTCCAAATGCATGGCTGGACTTCCAACAGCACCTTTGGGATTAGCTGAGAAACTGGATCTCAAAAGTGTTGTTTACAGTTTCTGTGCACGTTTCCATCGCTGTGCACATCCATACGGATAAATTCTGTTTCAGAGTGGAACTATAAACTAAAAGGAAAACCATACGATGCCCATTAACGAGATCCTATAACATTGTGACATGACATAACATCTGTCACAAAGGGAGAGTGAAAGAGACCCATGGGCAGACTCAAAGCCGGAGCCAAAAGGCCAGAGGTAAACCGAGCTGCTAATATCAACTATTGATGGAAACAGTCTAAATAATAAAGAGATTGCCACATCCTTCAAGAAGCCACATGGTGTAAACCTTACACCATGTGTTAATCGAGACATGTGCACAGCACCAATAGGCCACATGTTGTTTTATTTTTCCGTTCTTGAAATATTTATCGGATCACAGCAGGAAGTAACAAAAATGTAAACTCACCTAAAAAGCAAGTGCAGACTTGAGCCAAGAGGCGTTCAATTTCTTCAAAAAGTCCAGATCCGGAGCACCTTTAAAATATCATAATTTGTTCATGCGTCTTTTTCAGAGCTTTCCTTCTTTTTGAGCTATGTCAGACCACCCACCTATGGCAGAGGTGGTAAGCATAAACGATTATTCCTGAAAGGGTCAAAACTGATGTCTTTTGTCTCGGGCAGAAGAATGATAAGATTATCATTTACAGCAGGGGTGTCAAACTCATTTTGGTCAGGGGAAGTGGCCGAAAGACTAGAAGGAATGTTCTTTTCTTATGTTTTTATGTAACGACAGTTTCCCTATTATTTTCTAGTTTATTATCATGAAAACAAAATGTGATTTAAAATAATTGAAAATCATTTAGGGGCCACTAAAAATAGTCTTGCGGGCCGGATTACGAGCTTGAGATTAACATGGCCGATTTAAAGGATACAAAATGCCAACAGTCGCTTTAACTTCTTCCAGTACTAAGGCATTTGTAATGATCCTACAATAACTGTCTTTTCCGTCTTGTAGGAGATGGAGCAGATGAGGTCTCGCATAGCAAGAGATGAGGTGAACGTGGAGGTGGACACGGCTCGCGGGCCGGAGCTTGGCACCATCTTGTCTGACCTGCGCACTCAGTATGAGGGCATCGTGAAGAAGAACAAGGAGCAGGCCGAGCAGTGGTACCGCAAAAAGGTCAGATTTATATTTAATAAATACATCACAACTAGTCTCTTTTGTAAATCAAACTCTTACTATTTTGTGTTTTCTTGGCATCAGCTGGATACGGTGCAGAGTGAGGTGAGGGAAAATAATGAGGCTCTAAGAGGAGCCCAGGGTGAGCTGACTGAACGGCAGCGCTTCCTGCAGACACTGGAGGTGGAGATGGAAAGTCTTCACAAACAGGTAAGAACAAGAACGTCAACCATAATCAAATATATCACCTTAAGTAGTACTTTTATCCTATGTTGTATCTTGAACAGAATCAGTATTTTCAGTCATAGTTTTACATGCTTTACATACAGAGGCATGACTTTCACCACTTTTCCTTCTTTCATTTATAGAATAAAACCTCTGTCTTGAAATCCCGTGTTGACAGTAAACAGGCTCTCCCACGCTGATAAGGCGTCCCAACACATGGGATAGTGTTGCTATATTGTACTGGGGATGTTGGGGATGATACACATGGTGATTTGAAACCAAACCCCTGTTATAGATGAAATGCTTTGGGAAGTCATTTTCATTCATCAGGATGGATATTCAGGGTTTGATTTCTCTGGGAAAATATCATAACTTACTGTTCATGTGAGGCCAGTAATCCATTTGCCAAATTCCTGGGGACTTTGGTTAATCAGCTCGTCTTTGTTCAAACTACTGTTTTCATTGTTCAGGGCAAACACGTGCAGTCCTGTGACAAATAACTGCTTTGTCTTTCTAAAGGTGGTTTTGGTGCACCTGTTTTTTCTTTGCAAAATTGTAATATCTAAACAATGAAATATATCTGTAAGGCAAAACATTTCAGAGACTCATCCATCCATTTTCTTCCCCTTAATCCATTTCTGGGTTGGGGATGGCAGTCAGAGCTGCACCCAGTACACTTAGCACCAGCCCCTCACTGATCCTCCTGCAGGTGCTGAGTCCACAGGAGCCTTGATCTTTCAGCGGGGGCTTCAGGCAAAGTGGGGTTAAGTGTCTTGCCCAAGGACACAACAACAGCAGTCATCAGTGGGAGTCATGAAGAAGGTCTTGTGGTGGGCTCGATCCCATGACCTTCAGGCTCTAACGCCAATGCTCTACCAACTGAACCACTGCCCCTATTCAGAGATTCAAGATTTACTTAATTGAGGTATTTATTATGGGGATAGATATTTCCGTTATCTATTTTCTAGTGTTTTCACAATACAACATTTCAAACTCCATCCATCCATCCATCCATTTTCTCTTGTTTCATCCGTTGCCGGGTCGCGGGGGCAGCAGTTTAAGCAGAGACGCCCAGACTTCCCTATCCACACACACTTCCTCCAGCTCGTCCGGGAGGACCCCAAGGTGTTTCCAGGCCAGCTGAGAGACATAGTCCCTCCAGCGTGTCCTGTGTCTTCCCCGGGGCCTCCTCCCGGTGGGACGTGCCCGGAACAGCTCCACGTGTGCAACAGATGCCTGAGCCACCTCAAATGGTTCCTCTCAAGATGGAGAAGCAGTGGCTCTACTCTGAGCTCCTCCCGTGTGACTGAGCTCCTCACCCCATCTCTAAGGGAACGCCCAGCCACTCTGTGGAGGAAGCTCATTTTGATCTCATTCTTTCGGTCATTATCCAAAGCTCATGACCATAGGTGAGGGAAGGAACGAAGATTGACCGGTAAATCGAGAGCTTTGCCTTTCAGCTCAGCTCCCTCTTTACCACAACGGTCCGATACAGCGACCGCATCACTGCACACGCTGCACCGATCCGCCTGTCAATCTCACGCTCCATCCTTCCCTCACCCGTGAATGCTAACCCGAGATACTCCTCCACTTGAGGAAGGACCACTCCACGCACTGGGCGAGTGCAAGGCACCTTTTTCCAGTCAGGCACCAAGGCCTTGGATTTGGAGGTGCTGATTCTCATCCCAGCCGCTTCACACTCGGCTGCAAACCGTCCCAGTGCATGTTGTAGGTCCTGGTTTGTTGGAGCCAACAGGACAACATCGTCCGCAAACAGCAGAGATGAAATCCTGAGGTTCCCGAACAGGACCCCCTCCGGCCCTTGGCTGCGCCTAGAAATTCTGTCCACAAAGATAGTGAACAGAACCGGTGACAAAGGGCAGCCTTGGCAGAGGCCAACATGCACCGAGAACAGGTCTGACTTACTGCCGGCAATTGCGAATGCAGCTCTGGCTCCGGTCATACAGGGACCGGACCCCGAACTCCCGGAGAACCCCCCAAAGGACACCCCGGGGAACACGGTCGAACGCCTTCTCCAAATCCACAAAGCACATGTGGACAGGTTGGGCGAACTCCCATGAACCCTCGAGTATCCGATGGAGAGTATAGAGCTGGTCCAGTGTTCCACGGCCGGTACAAAAACGACACTGCTCCTCCTGAGTCAGAGATTTGACCATCGGCCGTAGCCTCCTCTCCAGTACCTTGGAGTAGACCTTACCAGGGAGGCTGAGGAGTGTGATCCCATGATAATTGGAACACACCCTCCGGTCCCCCTTCCTGTAGAGAGGGACCACCACCCGGTCTGCCACTCCATTAGCCCCGCCCCCGATCGCCACGCAATGTTGCAGAGACAGTCAGCCAAGACAGTCCTACAACATCCAGAGACTTTAGATAGTCAGGACGCATCTCATCCACTCCCGGCGCCTTGCCACCATACAGGCTGCGAACCACCTTGGTGACCTCAGCCAGGGAGATGGAAGCATCCGCCCCAAAATCCTCAGCCTCTGCCTCCGGAACGGAGGACGTGACGGGTGGATTGAGGAGAACTTCGAAGTATTCCTTCCATCGCCCGACTATATCCCCAGTCGAGGTCAGCAGCTCACCACCCGCACCATACACAGTTTTGGCAAAGCTTCCCCCTTCTGAGGCGGCGGATGGTTGGCTAGAATCTCTTCGAGGCCGACCGATAGTCATGCTCCATGGAGTCTCCGAACTACTCCCAGTCCCGGGTTTTTGCCTCTGCAACAGCCCGGGCCGCGGCACGCTTGGCCTGCCGGTACTGGACAGCTGCCTCAGGAGTCCCCCGAACCATCATGGCTCGATAGGACTCCTTCAGCCTGACGGCATCCCTTACTGCCGGTGTCCACCACCGGGTTCGGGGTTGCTGCCGGTACCAGCACCCGAGACCTTGTGACCACAACTACGAGCTGCCGCATCGGTGATAGAGGCGGAGAACATGTTCCAGTCAGACTCGATGTCCCCCTCCTCCCCCGGGACCTGGTAGAAGCTCTCCCGGAGATGTGAGTTGAAAGTCCGTCTGACAGGGGGCTCAGCGAGACGTTCCCAGCAGACCCTCACTACATGCTTAGGTTTTCCAGGTCTGACCGGCTTCTTCCCCTGCCAGCGGATCCAACTCACGACCAGGTGATGATCGGTTGACAGCTCCGCCCCTCTCTTTACCCGAGTGTCCGAGACACGCGGCCAAAGGTCAGATGATACAACGACAAATTCGATCATCGACCACCGGCCTAGGGTGTCCTGGTGCCACGTGCACTGGTGGACACCCTTGTGGGCATGATGGACAAACCGTGACTAGCACAGAAGTCCAACAACTGAACACCACTCGGGTTCAGACCAGGGGGACCGCTCTTCCCAATAACCCCTCTCTAAGTGTCACTGGCATTTCCCACATGGGCGTTGAAGTCCCCCAGGAGAATAACGGGGTCCCCAGTTGGTGCACCATCCAGTACCCCTCCCAGGGACTCCAAGAAGGCCGGGTACTCTGCACTGTTGTTAGGCCCATTGGCCGTCACAATAGTGACTTGTCCCCCACCCGGAGGTGGAGAGACGTGACCCTCTCATTCACCGGGGAGAACCACAACATGTGGCAACTGAGATGGGGGCAATTAGTATGGCCACCCCCGCTCGCCGCCTCTCCCCGCGAGAAACACCAGAAAAGTGGAGCGTCCAACCCCTCTCAAGGAGTTTGGTTTTAGAGCCCAAGCTGTGTGTGGAGGTGAGGCTGACTATCTCTAGTCGGTAACTCTCAACCTTGTGCTCCAGGCTTCTACCATGAGCAAGCATCTGAAATCAGCTTCTCCCATCTCCAAGATTCAATGATTTTTGGTCCACTTGCAGTAAAACCATATTGGAAAAACTGTGCAAGACTACCCCAGTGTGCACCAGGATAGTAACAAGCCACAGCGATCTAAGATTGTGCCCTATTCAAATCAGTGGCTTGTGCTCAGTAGCCTAATGCCGCTTTTCCACAGTAACAGTACGGTACGGTTTGACTCAACACGGTACGCAACGGCCCAGTTCGGGTGATTTTCTATCAAAAATAGTACCTCCTAGTATCTCCTCACTGGTGTCAGACCACGTAATTTACACGCAACGCGTAACTAGTAACATTCGTGCGGTGCATGGATTTATCATAATATCGGTGCTGGTTATTACCTGCGAGGGGGACTCTGCTTACCCCCTGCAGAACTGGCTCCTAAAACCTTTTCAGGACACTGGGCGAGTGACAGACAAACAGCAAGTATGTAATAGAAAATTCAGCACAGTGCGAGTGGTTGTTGAAAATGCTTTTGGCAGTCTTAAAGGAAAGACTCGGACACTGAACATGTGAAGTCAGTGGTGCTAACCTGCTCTGTACAATCTGTGAGAACCACCGAGAGACCTGTGACTACACACCTGTAGCAGCAGCAGCTGTGTAGCACTGGTGCAGAGGAGGAGGGCTATCCAATGTGTCGCTTTTAATATGCCTAAACATTTATTTTGACCAAAAATAAAACTTTTTTGTATTTACCAAATGTCTCCATCCTTGTTCACAAATTTACAAAGGTTATACGGATTTACTGACAAATATAATGTATGTAGTAAAAGTACATACATAAGTATATGGTAGGAAATCGTAACTTCTGAACCCTTTTCTGCATGTGTACAGACAAAATGAATGAAACAAAGTCTTGATACAATCACAGATTTATTAAAAACAAAAGTAAAATGCAAAACCAACAGTTTACAAAGTCCAAAGTACGTATGTCTCTGAGACCAAGTCCAGATGCTGGTCACTCATTGCTTGTTGGTAATCTCCACACTAATGGAAAGGAATCTCAAACAAATACATACAACAACTTAAATACAAGCACAAAACAGAATGACAACACGTTAAAACTGCAGATAATACAAGATAAAGCACAGTAGCGCAGGAAGGACATTAGCTTAGCTTGCTATCGATAGCTAAATGTAGCTAGCTCACTGTGTACAACAGACAATCAAACATGTACACAAGTAAATACATTTCAGTGAGAGCTTTGGGCCAACTCGATATGTAGCTAACCAGTTATTTCCAGGATTACCACAGACCAGTCACAAATCCAGATCTGGGTGATCTCCCTGAAAACCTCGTGAAACCTCCGTGTTGAGCCTCGAGCTGCCTTTGAATTCTTTCTTTTGGCCTGAAGAGAGTAACGTGTGGACCTCGTCCACCGACCAGGACCAGGACTTTTGGGGCTTTCTGTGCAATTCCATTTCTCTGGAGTGAGGAGGACGTAATGTAGCCGAAGCAGAGCCGAGCAGAGCAGCCGCTTTTAAAGATGGCGGTTGAGTTGTTTTTCCCAAAGGGTCAGACGTCGCTTCCAGTGACGACACTCGTTGAACAATCAGTGTAAGGCAGTCAGCCGACATCACGTTATGGTATCGGTACTACGGAGATGGAACCACTGTCGAGATAGTACGAAAAAGTATGCAAACTCAAATACTAAATACCAGTGGAAAAGCAAAATAACCGCGCCGAAGCATACCGTACCGTAACGTACCGTTACTGTGGAAAAGGGACATAAGTTCCACCATGGGGACTGAAAGATTAGTGGAACTCGCCCATATTTGGTCATTTCTCTGGTCCATCCCATGATCCTTTGAGCCAAATACTCGTGTATGGCTCTCATGCACGTGCATAGAGTGGTTTAGCGCGTCCTGACCAATCAGATCTGATCAGAGCGGAGCAAGAACGGGGGTTAATTGAGCTGTTTGTTGCACTAAAGTGTGGATTTACAGAACACCGAAGGATGTAAGAAGAAAAAAGGTTCAGGATGACAAGGGACACTAACATCCCCACAAAACTTTTTTTAGTTCATATTGAGTTCTATGAGGAAACTTTCTGGGTACCCCACGTGAATTTAGTCTTGCTTAGTCTGCTGTTATGGCAAAATTCATATTTGAATATATTTCACTAAATCCACTGATAACATTGAAACAAAGGCCTCCTGTGCTGAGGTCACTGTCACATGACCTGAGCCTGGGACTGGCGGGTCCCAAGACTCCCTTTTGGTTCATTGAATCATATGTTAGGGCAGGTGTCAGATATACGTAGCTCTTCTTCCCTCCCTGATCCTACCTTCTCTTCCTGCATAAATAAAACCCACCTTGCCCCCACTTGACATGTTTTGTTCTTTGTCCTTTCTTCACACAACTATATTACTGGATGTGGAATGTGAGCGGGGCAGAGAGGTGCGAGGTAAGCTTTCTGACTCTGCGCAGAGTCAGACAGGAACGATGCAAACCCAAAGACATTCCACATCCAGTAATATAGTTGTGCAATACCGCGAGAATCCCCCGAAAACATGGATTCTTCAGCTCCAAGCTAATAATACCCTCAACACACAGTATTATAATAGATCCATGGCTAGTACACAACAGAGCAAGTGGCTTGTACAACTGGTGACTAAATACTTATTTGTCCCACTGTCTACGGCAGCCATACTACCATAGACAGTGGGGCAAAATCTTTCAAAACGCCCTAAAGTATAATTCCAATGCTTGTGGCATAAAATAAAGTATAGTATATGGACGTATCTAACTATTTTCAATGTAAATGAAAAATCTTAATTTGCTACCTGGACTGATGACTCAACTAAATGATGACAGACAGACACCCCTAAATAAAATAAATAGTTGTGTTGTGTCGTTGAGTTGTCTTGTTCTGTGTGTTCAGATCAGTGCTCTTGAGGGGAACCTGGGCGAGGCGGGTCAGAAGTACTCCTCAGAGATGGAGCGGCTGCAGTCATCTCTATCCCAGATGGAGGACGACTTGTCTCAGCTGCGACTCGAGATGCAGCGGACGAAGACAGACTATGAGCAGCTGCTGCGCATCAAGCAGAACCTGGAGATGGAGATTGCCACCTACAGGCGCCTTCTGGAAGGAGAGGATGCGTGAGTCGGCACAGGAACACACTATTACTGTTATGTAATGAATACGTATGACAGGTTAGACTTTAATGATCACAAAACACAGTTAATTGCATAATATTTTGATCATTATTTTACTAATTTCATCTTCATAAGACATTTTTTATGCGGTTTATAATTTTACTTCCTGGTTGTGACGGATGACACCACACTAGAGAAATTAGCTGTCAACCATGTAACAAACCGGTCCAAAACGCCTCTATTGTACTTGTTACTGATGTTGTTGATTTTAGGAATATGTTTTTTTAGTGAATCATTTGTGTTATAAAATGTTTTTGTAGATTGTGAATCAGGATGCTTTGTCTGTCCCAGCATGATGTCAATTCAACATATTTTCCCCGTTTCCTTAATAAAATAATAAAAAGCTGTTGTAGGCACTTTCACAAAAAAGTTTTGTAAATTTAGTCAAATAAATGTTGGTATTTTAATCAAAAACACAATATTTAATCATTCTAAAATGTTGTATTTTTGTCTTGTTAGGGTAAAGGAAGTGCCACCTCCCAAAAGTGAGTACCTTTCCTGTAAAGGGGACGACACGCACACGCTATGATATGGCACATAAACACAAAAGCAAAGTCAAGTGACGGTATTTTATTTAATGTCTCAGAACAACAGTATATCAAACCGACACAGGACTTCAGCTGATGGGAAATATATAAAAAAACAAATAAACATATCCAACAATGGAACATTATAAGTGTATGAATCTAAAGTACACTGTGGTTCTGGAGGATAATGAAAACATGCCTTTCAAAACAACCAAGGACACTGGGTTAATGAAAGAAATTAACTGATCGTTGTCCTAAATGTACCGTGTGCTTCCAGAGGAACCTGACGTCCGCACCCGGAAGATTGTGAAGGTTGTCACACAAACAATGGTCAATGGAAAAGTGGTGGATGAGTCCAGCGAAGTGGAACAAATCGAGGAAACAAAGAAATAGAATCGGGAAATATTACTGTAGATGAACAAGAATGAAATGATTTAACAACAGAATAATTGTTGTAATGGTAGTTTTATGTTTGTACTCAAAGCTGCATTAGTAAAATAAATGTGTGTCATTACAGGATCTTGTTGAATATAAAGAGTGAAAAAGTCCTATTGTAGACCCCTGTGTACTGTTATGGTTAGTTTGCCAGTTTGTCATAACCAATACACTTTGTGTGGATATCAGTGATTACTTTTGTGTACCTTGAATAAAAGTAAGTTCAATTCTTTTAGTTCATATACTTTCTCACACTGAACCAAAACTAGACCGGGCTTGTTATGGCAGACTGATTTACCATCATTTACTATGAATTCATTGATTGCCTTTTGTGTTAGATAAATGATGCGGTACTTTTCTTTAAAATTATCTTTAAAATCACCTGTGACATTCCCTGAAATGCTCATCGTGAAGAGATTTGAAATCACAATAACACTGTTCTGTTTCACAAACAATACCGTGAAAGATACCATTAATCTCTAGCTGCCTTCAATCCAAGTCAAGAACATAATGAGAGATGAGAATAGATCACTCCTACAATTACAACATGTGGTGTTTAAAGATTACTAAGTAAAATACTAGTGAGTACGTTTACAAAAGGCTTCAGTTTTATCCCTGTGTGTGTCACACTGAACACACTGATTTAACAAAGCACTAGTGACACCAGCCCCACGGCTTTTCACTTTTCACTTCTCGTAAACGCTGTATATGCATCATCTACAACTGAATGTCATTGGACTTTTAAAAGGGGGACTTGTAAAATCCTTGTAAATCCAGGGGAGGAGGGGAATGCTGAGTATCCTATCAGCTGAGACGGTATTAAAGGGATAAAGTCTTTACACAACAGACCAATGTAAGCGCATTAGCGCCTTGTAAACATTGAGTGAAGCTCTGCTGTTTTGTGTCCAAACCAAAACCACATCCCGGAAAAGATTAAAGTCTAAGTAACATTAACACTTCAACACACATTTTAGATTATAAAAATATGTTTTATTTTTGTATTGACCCAAAATGAAATAACTTCTCACTTTCTTAAGTATAATGGAAACACATTCAAAACAATAAGAAATCCTAGCAGTCCTTTTGAAGCAGATACAAAATGTCTCACTGCTGCATGTCGCCAGCTTGTGTTTGAACTGTTTAACAGGCTCCAGACTGCAGCACTGGCTGGAACTGTCCCGCCATGCAGACATCATCCTGCTTCTGGCGGACGATGCGCTGGATGGCAGGTGGCAGCCCACGTGGGTTCCTGGAGAAGACCAAGGCATAGCCATCATCGCAGGAGCCATCGTCTTTCATGGTGCGGCAGGCATAGGTGATGGCATAGTTTTCATAGTCAGTGTCGATCACCCAATAGTTATCACCTGAGGTTCAAATAAACAACTTGTTATCAGAAGTTACATTCAAGGAAAAACTGGCTCGGAGAGCAGCCAAACAAGGACGCTGACCTCCACTGGACAAGTAGCTGGCGAGCCCCTGGTAGTTCATGAACATTTTCCCAGGACTAGCAGGGTCAGGGACAGTGTATTGAGCTGCCATATCGGCACACACAACCCAGAATCTGAAAAATAAGATTACATTAGTCATTCAAAGATCTTGTTATGAGAAACTAAATTAACACATGTTGAAATAAGTGTGTTATGTTTTATGTTTCAAAAAGATGAGACTTGAAACTCACCCAAAAAGTGTCACTCGTCCTTTGGAGGAGGCAGTCATGCTGCCATCGTCATCAATGGTGTATTCAGCAGAGATGTTGTCCTGAAGGAACAGGCCCTCAGGATCCTTCTTCTGTAGAGCATACCATTTCCCTGCATACTACAAACAAAAACTACTCAACACACTGATATCTTCATTTGAGAAATAGTTTTGTTTAATTGCAACGCACTCTCTTTGGGTCGAAATCCTCTTTGACCGTGAAGCTGTCAACAACACAAGAAGCAGCCAGGCTGCGCTCCACACAGGCCAGCAGCACCAGCAGCAGAGGCAGCTTAGAGGAGGCCATTCTGTACGAATACAAGATATTATTGCATGCTAGAATACACAAGCGTCACAAAATACAATATATAACCTGGTAATGTATGGAGTTAAAGACTAGATAACCTAACCTCATTTGACTACGCTGTGGACGGTAGTCCATCAAATACTTTCATGTGATCTATTAATGGGAATAGCAAGGTGGAAAATAAAATAAAAACACTACTATAACCAAAAATGTTATTTCTTACCTTGTTTGCTTCAGAGAATATGATCCAGACAGTCAGTTTGTACTGTGTGCATGTCTTTATATACTCTCTGGCAGACATGCTTACGACTGATTTTCTTTGGTTGGAACTAAATAAGGTGCTTAAATCTAGAAGTAATCCTGTTGGGTTGAAATCCTTACTGTAATCTGGCTTCTACTTTCAAATCTTACCATGAAAACAATGAGTTATTGTGTAACTGATTGGAAGTACATGCATTACAGAAAGTTCACATGATCAAGATAATCATAGTATATTGAGACAAACTTCAAAAACTTGAGTTTTAGAAACTACTTTTCTTACTTTTTTCCTAAAAAATAAGACATGTTTGTTTGGACTATGATAAGACCATTAAGAGCTGCCATGTGCCACACTGATGCAAGCACCATAATCCCTCAATCATGTGTGTAATGGAATGAATAACTCGCGGAAATTCAATTTGGAAGGCCGGCCTCGCAGCCCCAGCCTATCGCAGCAAACGCCCATTTCCAACCAACCTACGCCGGCCAGGCCAGCCGCTTAAAAGCGGAGAAACTCCCACTTTACGGCCTTCTCGAAGCCTTGCAAACCACCTTTCAATAAAAACATTCAAAATGCATTTTGTCTCCTCGTCTCTCCAGATTGAAATTGGGATATATTTTAGCCAGACGGGCCTTAGTATAATAGATGCGATGTAACAGTTTGCATTGAATCAGACTGTGCCTGGCACAAATGGAGAATTTATGAACTAAAAGCAACATTTGTGACCAAAGTTCCTCTGATATGGTGACACCCAGATCTTCTTCCCAAAGTTCCTTAATTGTAGCCATATTGTGAGGACGAATTAAAGTGATTTGATTATAATCAATTGAAATCACGCCTTTTAAAGAAGGAATAGGTTCGAGAAACTCATCAATGGGGGAATCTCCCGGAGAATCAGGAAAGGCCGGGAACATGTTACGGACAAAACTACGTATCTGCAAATAACGAAAGAAGTGGCTACGTGGTAAAGAAAACTTATCAGAAAGTTGTTGAAACGAAGCAAATACATTATCAATGTATAGATCTCTGAAAGACCTAATACCATTTCTCGACCACAATATGCAAAAGCCATCTGTAAGAGAGGGCAAAAAAGCGTGATTATGAGCTAAAGGAGCAGACAGAGAAAAGGCTTGCAAACCGAAGCGCCGCCGGAATTGTGACCAAATCTTTAACGAAATCCTGACCATACAATTGCCTGTGTAAGATGCGATCGAGGACTGAATAGGTGAATGTAGGAGGGCTAACAGAGAAACCGGTTTTACAGAGTTTGCTTCCATGACTAGCCAAGCTGGGGAGACCAAAGCATCAATCTGAAGCCAGTACCTAAATATCCTAATATTACAAGCCCAATAATAATACTTAAAATCTGGTAAGGCCATGCCTCCAAGCTTTTTTGATTTCTGCAAATACTGCATTCGCATACGGGGAATTTTCTTGTCCCAAATAAACTCCCGAATAATAGTATCAAGTTTATTGAAAAAAGATTGTGCAAGGAAGATTGGAATGCATTGAAAAAGATAAGAGAAACGGGGGAGAATGTTCATCTTAATACAATTGATCCTGGCCACCAAGGATAAGCCAAGTACTGACCAACGATCAAAATCCTCCTTGATTCGTGTCAGCAGTGGAGCAAAGTTGGCTACAAAAAGATCTGCAAACCTCTGAGTTACCTGAATACCTAAATAAGTAAACCCCTGAGGTGAGAATTTGAACGGCAGAGTGTTTAGGGAGAAGTTTACCGTTGAAGAGTTCACAAGGAATAATTCACTCTTGGAAAGATTTAATTTATAACCAGACAACTGTCCAAATTCAAGAAGTGTGTTGATAGCAACTGGAATCGAACAGTTCAGATCTGTAACATATAAAAGTAAATCATCTGCATACAAAGACACCTTGGTTTCCACTCCATACCTACATATTCCCCTGATATCTGGATTGGATCTAAGTGCAATTGCAAGGGGTTCTATTGCTAGTGCAAATAACAGAGGGCTCAGTGGACACCCCTGCCTCGTAGAGCGATGGAGGCGAAAATACTCTGATTGGACATCGTTTGTCCTAATGGAAGCGTGTGGATCAGAGTAAAGCAACTGTAGGGTGAGAAAATGTCGATATCACACATGTGTTATGTACCTGATATCGGAGAATTGGATCAAAAACAACCATGTAATAAATACAATAATTGATAAAAGCTTTATTTAGGGGCACCAGGGAATAACTCCCAACTGATAACGTGCATATGACGTCACAATATCAATTAATTGGCTCATTTATTGATTAAGTAATCTCATGAGTCCTTTCATTATTTAATTAGCTAGTTGGTCCAATTCTCTTCAATAGAATCTGAAGGTAGTGAATTATTTTACAAATCAGTGACCCAATTTCTGGAGTTAAAAGTACAAATATCACTTTCAGACAAAGATGGTTTTGTAGATTTAATTAAGTATACACAATACAGACTAGATATGAAATATGCAAATTGTCAAGAATAACATGAAGGAAACGTTGATTTCAAGATACATTGTTAAAATGCTAGGCTAAAGTGAGCTAAGCAAGACCTTTGTCTATGAATGGATTGGTATAGGCTGAGGCCTGCATGTGTTCAGCCTTGGTAGGAGAAGTATTCTTTGAAGTGTAGGTTTTAATAAAGCCAACAACTGTGTGTAGCAAGAGAGCAGATCATACAACCAGAATAGCCTTGGGTGAATAGCAGTCCTTGGGTCTTGATGGTGTTGGATGGAGGCTTCTTGTCCACGGGGCCTGGACCATGCGGCTGAACCAAGCCCTCCCACGAGCCACAGTCTAGGTGCCAAAACTCAGCAACTTCTTCAGGTTGAAGCTGGAGGCTATTGAAGGGTTGTGGAAGTCTTCTCGAACGTGGAGCTGAGGTTTGAGGCCATCTAAGAGGCCCAAAGCCCCTTGGTTGCCTGAGCAGAGCCCAGGGAGGTCTGGTCACTCCGTGGTTCCAAAGCAGACTAGTTTTTCTTCCCTGTGGGTCCTTGTAAGTCTTCACATCTTGTAGAGTTGTTGGGGGAAGGGTGTTGCCATGGCACTTATCTTAGGACATTCTTACCCACAATAAAACCTGAACCACAAGGATTTACACACAGTGGAGACAGAAGTTATAATATGTCTCAATATACAACAAAATGTCTTTGATTGAGGAAAGAGGTCATTTTAATTTATCCTACACAACCGAATCCAACAACTAAAATTCTCACCAAAACCAAATTTTGGTTTTGGTGAGAATGCAGTTTGGGGAATGCAGTTAGAAGTTTTATTTGATTAAGCATGTTTGGCGCCCTAGGCCCGGGAGCGATGCTGTTGAGCGCGGCGCTTGCTCGCACGCATAATCCCCCCCAGGGCCTAGGCACTGGTGGCGGCAGAGGCAGCAGGCAAGCACCCTCCAATGAGAGAAGGAGGAGGTGGGGCGGCGGAGGCTTGCAGACTTGAGAAGGCCGGGAAGTGGGCGTCTCCGGCTTTTAACTTGCTGTCCTAGCGGTTATTGGTTGACTGGATGTGGGCGTTGCTGGTACGATGAGCCGAGGATGAGAGCAGGCCTGTAGAGCTGGGCAGCACGGTGAACTTGCGCGAAAGCTCCATGTCTATTCCGGATAAACCCTGTCTGATCAGGTTTAACGATCGAAGGAAGAACTGATTCTATACGAAGTGCCAGTATCTTCGCTAACAATTTACAATCAACATTTAACAGACTTATTGGTCGATAAGAAGAACAAAGTTGAGGGTCTTTACCTTTCTTAGCTAGAAGAGTAATAATGGCTTGATTTAACGTCTGTGGCATACAACCCTGGTGCACAGATTCATTATAGAGATCCAACAGTAAAGGTGAAAGCCTATCACAGAATTTGTTGTAGAACTCACATGGATATCCATCAGGCCCAGGGCATTTACCCCCCTGCATGGATTTAATTGCTTCAGTAAGCTCCTTTGCAGTTAGAGGCCTTTCAAGATGATCACCAGTGGTCTGGTCAATAACGGGGATGTCTAACTTTTCAAAAAAAGCATTGAGGTCAGATGTGGAAGGATTACACTCAGATGAATACAGTGTCTGGTAATAACTTTTAAAAGCCAAATTAATTTCAACTGGGTCTGTAGTAGTGCAGTCTTCAGTTTTAATTTACGAGATTCGTTGGGAATCTGATATTTGTCTAATTCTGTGTGCCAGCAATTTTCCAGCTTTATCTCCGTGTTCGTAAAATTGAGCTCCTGTTTGAAGCAGCATTTCCGTTGTACGTTGTGTCATTAACACGTCAAATTCTGTCTGTAACAAAACGCGTTCCTTGTATATATCTGGGGTTGGAGAAACTGAATAGAGGTCGTCCAGTTGAGATATACGACATGTCAAGTTAGACAGCTTTTCTCTTCTTATCTTCTGCTCAAATTTTGTATAAGAAATTATTTCACCTCTAATATAAGCCTTCATAGTTTCCCACAGCAGTGAAGCTGAAACGCCAGCTCCCCTGTTATTCACAAGTAAAAAGTCAATCTGCTGTTCAACAAAGGATACAAAATTCTTATTGGACAACAGACGAGTATTTTACAAAATCTCTCTACAAAATTAGAGGTGCACAGGTTACATTTGAAGGACTTGATTGTATCTCTAAATGAAATGATAAAACGGGCAAGATCTACTTATTTTGCAAATCTTGTGAACAGAAAAAGGAGAAATCCTAAGGTTGTTTTTGATACAATTCATAAAATCGTTTCACCTTCGTCTCCTCCGGTGCCTGTCTTCTCATTTGATGACTGTAACAGATTTTTGAATTACTTTGTGAACAAGGTGGATGAGATCAGGGCAAATGTGAAACCGCCTGACACAAACACCATTAATGTTATTTCTACTAATTGCTCTGTCTGTGTTTTCTACTGTGACATTAGAGGATGTTATGATGTTACTGAAAAAAATGAAACCTTCCTCTTGTCCGTTTGATATCATACCCACAACTTTATTTTATAAGGTCATTGACATTGTTGCCCCACATGTTGTTGAATTGACAAATGGTTCTCTTATGTCTGGGTCTGTTCCAAACTTTTTTAAACAGGCAGCGATAAGTCCTATCCTAAAAAAGCCCAATTTGGACCCAGCTGAGCCTGGCAATTACAGGCCCATATCAAAATTACCATTTCTCTCCAAAGTTGTGGAAAAGGTGGTAGCAGAACAGTTGTCTGCTTTTCTCCAAAAAGATGAAATGTTTGATAAATTTCAATTGGGCTTCCGTAAGATGCACTCTACTGAGACTGCCTTACTAAAAGTGTCCAGCGACATCCGAATGGCTGCTGACTCTGGTCAGTTTTCTGTATTGATCCTGCTTGATCTGTCTGCAGGTTTTGATACTGTAGATCAGCCATTCCCAAACTCAGTAACACCGAGGCCCCCTTAAAAATCTGACGGGTCTGCGTGGCCCCCCAAAATAATAACCAAGAAGACAACATTAAGAATAGGCTCTTCTGGTTATTTTATTTTGGGGAAATAGCCTCTGCTACAAACATTGTAATACAAAAATGATTACAGTGGATTATTCAAGTCAAATAATGAACACACATATTTTAATATTACAAACAAAACATTATAAATTTAACATTAAATCATTATATTATTTTTTTATGACCTCCCGCGGCCCTCCTGCAGTACCCTCGCGGCCCACCAGGGGGCCGCGGACCCCACTTTGGGAGACACTGCTGTAGATCATAAATTACTGCTACAGAGGCTCAATACTGACTTTGGCATTTCTGGAACTATCCTTAAATGGTTATCGTCCTACTTGACCAACAGAACTTTCTCTGTGTGTATAAATAACATTATGTCTGAAGCTACTCCTTTGTTACACGGTGTTCCTCAGGGATCTGTTTTGGGACCTATTTTGTTTTTGTTGTACATCAGCCCCCTTGGAAAAACCATTAGCCGTTTTAAAAATGTTTCTTACCATCTCTATGCTGATGATATCCAACTGTATTTTTCGTTTAAGGAGTCAGAGTTGCACAGACTGTCAGAGTTAATGGATTGTCTTTCAAGTGTAAAGTCGTGGCTTCGTGAAAACTGCTTTCAGTTGAATTCTAAAAAGACTGAGACTTTGATAATTGCTCCGGAGCAAAAAATTCCTTTAATTGTAAACCACCTTGGTTCTCTGGGCTCCTCGGTTCAGTCGAGCATCAGAAATCTTGGTGTTTGGTTTGACCAGTCTCTGTCTCTTGACCGCCACTCAAGACACTTGGCCAAAAACTGTTTTTTCCATTTGAGAAACATTGCCAAGTTGAGGCCAATTTTATCCAAATCTGAACTAGAATTGGTGATTCATGCTTTTATCTCGTCTCGTTTAGATCAGTGTTTTTCAACCACTGTGCCGCGGCACACTAGTGTGCCGTATGATATTGTCTGGTGTGCCGTGAGAAATTCGTCTACTTTGTCTAAAAATAGCTGCATTCGCTGTTGACGAGCGGTGACTTGTTTTGAACTGTGAGTAACCATGTAATACTTTTTCAAATCAGTAGATGGCAGCAGATAGCTAAGTACTTTGAAACTGAAAAATTGGATGCGACCACTGGCTGTAACAGGTCAGCATTGTGGCGAGAAAGGTAAAATTGGATGCGACCAACAAATGTGGGAGGGAGCGAGACAAGAGCTTTGTGGCGAGTGAGAAGTGAAAGTGATAGAGACGTTTTTGAAAATGAATTATGCCGTTTCTGAACAGGATTAACATCCTCCGCTCTGCCCCGGGGCAGCTGTGGCCGCGTTGTAGTGGTTTAACTATGAAATGTACGATTTTTGTACAACAGCTCTCGCGAACGCACTTCTGAACTGGGTACCGAGCGCAGACCATAGTCGAGTGGACAGAACCACAGACATGCGGACCGGACAGAACCATGGACTCGCGTTCAGGACCTCCCGTGTCCCTCATCCAAAACTCCTGAATTTAAAGCTCGGATACCAAAATGTTTCCCATGCACTAACAATGCATGTTCTTTGTGTGAGTTATTATTTGACTATTTGGGCAGAGAGTGGATTTTCTTAGTTTTTTTCCACACAGTTAGTGCCACTTTATTCCCAAACTCTTGTTAATTGTATCGAGAAATATTAAATAAAGCTTAATTTCAAGGCCTGGACTTAAGCATTTTGATGAGAATAACTGTATATTGTGAATATAGGCTACAGAGTATACTGTATACATTATAAGATAAGATATACTTTATATATCACACAGAGTATGTACAGTATATATTTTTTTACATTAGTACTGTATACATTTTTACATTTTCTCCTGGAGGTGTGCCGCAAGATTTTTTCAGTGAAAAAAGTGTGCCTTGGCTCAAAAAAGGTTGAAAAACACTGGTTTAGATTATTGTAACTCCCTTTTTACTTGTTTTAACAAATCTGCTTTGAATCGTCTTCAAATGGTTCAAAATGCTGCTGCGCGGCTTTTAACAGGCTCTAGCAGACGGTCACACATTACTCCTATTTTATCATCTCTGCACTGGCTTCCCATCAAATTTCGAATTGATTTCAAAATTTTAGTATTGACTTTTAGAGCGCTGAATGGTCAGGCTCCCAAATACGTGTCTGACCTGCTGTGCCCTCACTCCTCCGGTCGCAACCTTAGGTCTTCGGGTCAGAACCTCCTTGCTGTCCCAAGGATCCACTTTAAAACCAGAGGTGACCTGTCCTTTGAAGTTGTTGCTCCTAAACTGTGGAATGTCCTTCCTCTGTCGCTACGTGTGATTGACACTGTCGATTCCTTTAAAAAACAGCTGAAGACATGGCTGTTTGGACGAGCTTTTAGTTGAAAAGGCTGTGATTGTTTTAATTAATTTGTTTTAATATTGCTCTGTAACTTGTATTGTTGTGCCCCTGTGAAGCACTTTGTGATTTTATCTGTGAAAGGTGCTATATAAATAAAGTTTCTTCTTCTCTTCTTCTTCTTCTTCTTAGCCGCCACAGTGATTTTTTGGTGGTGAAGAAAATTGTAAATTTACAGAGACAGGAGCATGGTCCGAAAGAACAATTGCCTCGTATTTACAAACAATAAGAGAGGAAAGTAGCTGATTGTCGATCAAAAAAAGATCAATGCGTGTAAAAGTATGATGGACCGGAGAGAAGAAAGAGTAAACTTTCTGCAAAGGATTTAGGAAGCGCCAAGCATCTGATACACCAAATTCTGTCATGAATGAATTAACTGCTCTAGCTGAAGGTGAAAGGGTACCTGGTTGAGTGGACGAGCGATCTAACTGAGGATCAAGCCAACAGTTAAAGTCTCCACCCAGAAGTAACTTATGATTCCACAAGTCAGGAAGTTGAGAAAATAAACGCTTAAAAAAGCCGTCGTCATCATGGTTTGGAGCATAAATGTTAACCAAAACGATGGGTACATTACAAATAGTGCCTGTAAGAATGATATACCTCCCATTCGGATCCGAGATTGTTTGTGAATGTATATATGGGACAGATTTGCATATTATAATAGCTACCCCACGAGCCTTACTGTTAAAAGATGAATGATCTGATCAACCCAATTCCTTTTTAATTTATTGTGATCCAAGTTTTTCAGATGCGTTTCCTGCAAGAAAATTATATGAGCCCCTAATCGCTGGATGTGATGCAATACCTTACTACGTTTTACCGGATTGTTAAGCCCTTTACAGTTGAAGCTGGTAAAACGAATGTGTTGTCCTACAGCATTGGCTGGTGCTGTCCTATGGTTCGACATGGGACAAACAAGGAACGAGAGATGGCACGGATCCCCCTGGACACCTGACGAAAACAGACCCATACACACACTTACATTCACACGCCTAAACCCCCAAAACTGAACATAGACAAAGTCGCAGAAGCACCCCCCCCAACTGGAATGCGCGACCCCAACCTCCCCAAAAAACTACAAAAAGGGCCCTTAAACAGGGCTGGGAGAGCAGTTTGAAATAAACCCTACTCTCCAGTGGAATGCTATATGTCAACGAAAAATAATAAATAATGCATCACTACTTTAAAGTAATAGTAAAATCAATATTTTATAATACTTATTATTATTATTACAATAAAATTAAAAAAAGCTAATCTAATAAGTAAAAGACATATTTCCCCTCCTTGCTTGCACTGTGCAATTCTAAAAAGTTTAAAATTAAAAGTCAAATATGTACAAAAAAAAAAAAAAAAAAACACAATCAAATGTGTATAGAATATATGCTATAATAACAATAAATGTATCCAAAACGAAAAACACTGCATTACTGCAAAGTATAAACTAACGGCACAACAAAGATGATATGAATAAATTCTATTAAAGGAAGAGAAATATTTAACATGTAGAACAATAGAATGAGTAAACTACCTCAGAGAACACCAGTCCAGTGTATACCACCTGATTACGCCACGCATCAGAGTCTGGGGCGACCACACTTTTAATATTCTTCTCCACGAAATCCAAGGCTGCATCAGGGTCTTCAAACTTGTGACTTGTCCCACTAGGCAGCGTGATCTGAAGCGTTGCTGGAAAGAGCAGTCCAAACTTCACTCCAGGGCATGAATGTAGTTCCTTCTTAACTCTGCCAAATGTAGCTCTTTTCTTCGCTACTGCCGTAGTATAGTCGGGGAAAATAAGCACTCGCCTCCCGTTGAAATGAAGAGGAGACTCACGGGCCTTACGCAGGATTTCGTTCCGCACTTGGTACATGTTCACACGAACAACGAAAGGCCATGGAGGCGCTCCCTCCCCTGGTCTGGGTCGTAGGGTGCGATGAGCGCGGTCCAAAACAGGTTTAGCATCCAGGCGCAACAAGTCATGTAGTAAGCCAGCCACGAACTCAGTGGGGCGAGGGCCCTCTGAATTCTCCGGAATTCCAACGATTCTTATGTTGTTGAGTCTTGAGCGACCCTCCAAGTCCTCACACTTTCTGGTCAAAGAGGCAACTTGATCCTGTGCAGGCCTCTGCTAACCGAGGCCTGCACAACTGTTAGCCTCCCGTCCTGCTCATTAGCCGCTTGCTCCAAATCACGGACAGCACTCGAAAAAGATGCAATCCTTGCCTCCAATGGTGACAGAGCTCCCGTGATCTCTTTTTTCACCACGTCAGAAATGATGTCCCCGAGTCCATTCATAATGTCTCCGCGCATTTCTTCCATCATTTCTCTCATGCTAGCAAGCAGTGATCGGTTAGCTTCGGATTCAGCCATTGGTGTAGCAGCCCCTCGTGCTCAGACTTGCTAGTGCTGCGTGTGGTCACTCCGATGTCCCTTTTCCTCATTATTAGGGCTGAAAACACGTTAATTCGTCCCGACATGCGCGTTCATAAACACTGGTAATCAGACTGGAACTCCAGAGAAAAAAAAAAGTGATGCAAAATATCAAATTAAATTAACATTCCGGAGGAGCTACAAAAGCACAACCTACTCCATAGGTGCTCAGCAGCGCCCCCCTGAGATAAGATGTGTTTAAAAGATTTATTGATTGCGAGTTTTGTTTGTAGTTTATTAGTTTGGCGCACAGGCCCCGGCTGTGGCCTTGCTCTGTGAGGATCTGGGCCTGAGTGCAGATCATGATCCCGGGGCCCAGACACTGGGGGTGGCAACAGGGCAAGGTGGATGTGAGACAGAGGTGGGGAGCAGGTGGGTGGTGTCCAGCCTTTAAAGGGTAGCTTGATTAGCACGGCTGTAAGGAGTTGAGCTGATGTGAGGCTGAGGAGCATCGACACATGTCGATGACATAGTTTGAACTTTTGCTTAAGCTTTAATTGTTTAATTATTTTTCCTGTATATTAGGATTGCGTTGAACCACATTGGTGCTTTAGGATCGTCCCCATTGCACACTTGTGATCACATTTCCTATCCATGTACAATATTTCCATGAATAATAAGAAAAAAGATACATTACAAGTATAAAAGATATTATAAGTTCTATGGAAGATGTTTTGTGTCATCAGATTTGGAATTTTAATTGAGCTTTAATTTTAATTATTCCATTTGAAATGTTTAACCCTGAAAAAGCATATTTGAATATTTTTGTCTTTGCATTTCAGTCATTAATAATTCAGTTTCAAAATTTCAAAATGACATAATTCACCTTCATAATATATATATTTTTGCATCCATCCATTTGTGGGGCTGGTTCACGGAGCACCAGACCCATTTTTTTTCAATGGAAAAAAAAAAAACAGATTATTTGTTCCATCAGAAATTTAATTTTAAATGGACCTGAATTCATTTATTAGAATTGTATTTAACATCATGAATATTTTTGTCTGCGAATTTCAGTCTCTGATTATCAATGTTTTCCTTTAAACCCAACAGTCTAAATTCACTGCAAAAAATATGATGGTGAATAATTCACATGACACATCCGGTGTTCTGACGAGTTGTGTGCTCTGTCAGTTGGTCTGTCAGTTGCTCTGTCAGTTGGTCTGTCAGTTGCTCTGTCAGTTGGTCTGTCAGTTGGTCTGTCAGTTGGTCTGTCAGTTGGCCTGTCAGTTGGTCGGTCAGTTGGTCTGTCAGATGGTCTCTCAGTTGGTCTGTCAGTTGGTCTGTCAGTTGGTCTGTCAGTTGGTCTGTCAGTTGGTCTGTCAGTTGGTCTGTCAGTTGGTCTGTCAGTTGGTCTGTCAGTTGGTCTGTCAGTTGGTCTGTCGGTTGGTCTGTCGGTTGGTCTGTCAGTTGGTCTGTCAGTTGGTCTGTCAGTTGGTCTGTCGGTTGGTCGGTCAGTTGGTCTGTCAGTTGGTCTGTCAGTTGGTCTGTCGGTTGGTCTGTCGGTTGGTCTGTCAGTTGCTCTGTCAGTTGGTCTGTCAGTTGGTCTGTCAGTTGGTCGGTCAGTTGGTCTGTCAGATGGTCTGTCAGTTGGTCTGTCAGTTGGTCTGTCAGTTGGTCTGTCGGTTGGTCTGTCAGTTGGTCTGTCAGTTGGTCTGTCAGTTGGTCTGTCAGTTGGTCTGTCAGTTGGTCTGTCAGTTGGTCTGTCAGTTGGTCTGTCAGTTGGTCTGTCAGTTGCTCTCTCAGTTGGTCTGTCAGTTGCTCTCTCAGTTGGTCTGTCAGTTGGTCTGTCAGTTGGTCTGTCAGTTGGTCTGTCGGTTGGTCTGTCAGTTGGTCTGTCAGTTGGTCTGTCAGTTGGTCTGTCGGTTGGTCTGTCGGTTGGTCTGTCAGTTGGCCTGTCAGTTGGTCTGTCAGTTGCTCTGTCAGTTGCTCTCTCAGTTGGCCTGTCAGTTGGTCTGTCAGTTGGTCGGTCAGTTGGCCTGTCAGTTGCTCTGTCAGTTGCTCTGTCAGTTGGTCTGTCAGTTGGTCTGTCAGTTGGTCTGTCAGTTGGTCTGTCGGTTGGTCTGTCGGTTGGTCTGTCAGTTGGTCTGTCGGTTGGTCTGTCAGTTGGTCTGTCAGTTGGTCTGTCAGTTGGTCTGTCAGTTGGTCTGTCAGTTGCTCTCTCAGTTGGTCTGTCAGTTGGTCTGTCAGTTGGTCTGTCGGTTGGTCTGTCGGTTGGTCTGTCGGTTGGTCTGTCAGTTGGCCTGTCAGTTGGTCTGTCAGTTGCTCTGTCAGTTGCTCTCTCAGTTGGCCTGTCAGTTGGTCTGTCAGTTGGTCGGTCAGTTGGCCTGTCAGTTGCTCTCTCAGTTGGTCTGTCAGTTGCTCTCTCAGTTGGTCTGTCAGTTGGTCTGTCAGTTGGTCTGTCAGTTGGTCTGTCAGTTGGTCTGTCAGTTGGTCTGTCAGTTGGTCTGTCAGTTGCTCTGTCAGTTGCTCTCTCAGTTGGTCTGTCAGTTGGTCTGTCAGTTGCTCTGTCAGTTGCTCTGTCAGTTGGTCGGTCAGTTGGTCTGTCAGATGGTCTGTCAGTTGCTCTGTCAGTTGCTCTGTCAGTTGGTCTGTCAGATGGTCTGTGAGTTGGTCTGTCAGTTGCTCTGTCAGTTGGTCTGTCAGTTGGTCTGTCGGTTGGTCTGTCAGTTGCTCTGTCAGTTGCTCTGTCAGTTGCTCTGTCAGTTGGTACACAATACAATACAATGTATTGTTGTATAGCCCTAGGTCACAACAGAAGTCATCTCAGAGACTTAACAAAACCATTGAAATCACCAACACAGGTCAGAGAATCAACAGTTAAAACACATGAAGAATATAAAGCACACACAGAAGAAAATGTCCATACATGTTGTAGAATGCTAAAGTGTCCTGATCATCACCAATCCTTTCTGTTGGACACTAACTGTCCAACAAGACCCTCCTGCATCCACAAGGAAAAACTCTTAAAAAACCCAGTGGGAAAAAGTGAGAAACCTTGGAGGAGAACTAGGGAAACCCACAGGGAGGGAGACCCATATGAGAAAGGGATCCGCTCCTCCGGACGGACAGACTAATGATCCAGGACCTAAGCTAGCTACAAAACGTGGACCAGTGGACGCTGAACATGGACAGGTCCGGTGCAGGACTGAAGCACTCCCAGGCGGGTCGGGCGGGGCAGTCCGCAGGTGTAGATGGAAGAGGCCAGGCTCAGAGATCCCGTCATCGTACCATGAAACAGACAATGGGACAACGGGTGAATAGCAATGAACAAACTACAGTCAGAATCCTAAAAATGCTAAACAGATAGAGTAGGAAGGAGGAGAGGATAGTGCTCAAGTTACCATACTTCTCCAGCAGGGGGCGCCCTATGCAGCTTGACTAACAGTCTGAGGAGTTTAGCCTTCCCTGAGTCTTACCTTCCTAGCCATATGCTAAACTAAAGAGGACTGTTTTAAACCTAGCCTTGAATAAAGAATAACATACAGCATAATATATAACATAATATACAACATAACACAATACATTATTGAATAATATATAACATAATATATAACATAATACAGCATATATATTATAATATATACACTACATATTATATATTACCTAATTATATGCTAAATTAAAGTAAAGTGCTTTAAGCCTGGCCTTGAATGTGGAGACCGTATCTGCTTCCTTAACATAAATGGGAAGCTGATTCCACAGTAAAGGAGCTTGGTAGCTAAATGCTCTGCCACCAACAGTGACCTTTGAGACCTTAGGGACCACCAGACGTCTGGCGTTTTGTGAGCGCAACGCTCGACCTGGTTGATACGACACTAACGTGTCTTGGAGATAAGAAGGAGCCAAGCCATTTATGGCTTTATATGTTAAGAGAAGGATTTTAAACTTTATTCTGTACTCCACAGGGAGCCAGTGGAGTGATTTTAACACCGGAGTTATGTGCTCCCTCCTTTTGGTACCTGTTAAGATCCTAGCTGCTGTATTCTGAACGAGCTGGAAGCTCTTCAAAGAGGCTTTAGGGCACGCTGCCAGTAAAGCGTTACAGTAGTCGAGCCTTGAGGTGACAAACGCGTGAATGAGTTTTTCCGCGTCACTTTTAGGAAGGAAATTCCTAATTTTAGCGATGTTCCGTAAGTGGAAGTACGCCGTTTTAGTTGCTTGGCTTATATAAGCCTTGAAGGAGAGTTCTTGGTCAAAAATGACTCCAAGATTCCTCACAGTGTTACTGGGTATTATACTGACATTATCGAGAGTAACCATCTGGTTGGTCTGTCAGTTGGTCTGTCAGTTGCTCTGTCAGATGGTCTGTCAGTTGGTCTGTCGGTTGGTCTGTCAGTTGGTCTGTCAGTTGGTCTGTCAGTTGGTCTGTCAGTTGGTCTGTCAGATGGTCTGTCAGTTGGTCTGTCAGTTGGTCTGTCAGATGGTCTGTCAGTTGGTCTGTCAGTTGCTCTGTCAGTTGGTCTGTCAGTTGGTCTGTCAGTTGGTCTGTCAGTTGGTCTGTCAGTTGGTCTGTCAGTTGGTCTGTCAGATGGTCTGTCAGTTGGTCTGTCAGTTGGTCTGTCAGTTGGTCTGTCAGTTGGTCTGTCAGTTGGTCTGTCAGTTGGTCTGTCAGTTGGTCTGTCAGATGGTCTGTCAGTTGGTCTGTCAGTTGGTCTGTCAGTTGGTCTGTCAGTTGCTCTGTCAGTTGGTCTGTCGGTTGGTCTGTCAGTTGGTCTGTCAGTTGGTCTGTCAGATGGTCTGTCAATTGGTCTGTCAGTTGCTCTGTCAGTTGGTCTGTCGGTTGGTCTGTCGGTTGGTCTGTCAGTTGGTCTGTCAGTTGGTCGGTCAGTTGGTCTGTCAGTTGGTCTGTCAGTTGGTCTGTCAGTTGGTCTGTCAGTTGGTCTGTCAGTTGGTCTGTCGGTTGGTCTGTCAGTTGGTCTGTCGGTTGGTCTGTCAGTTGGTCTGTCAGTTGGTCTGTCCGTTGGTCTGTCAGTTGGTCTGTCAGTTGGCCTGTCAGTTGGTCTGTCAGATGGTCTGTGAGTTGGTCTGTCGGTTGGTCTGTCAGTTGGTCTGTCAGTTGGTCTGTCGGTTGGTCTGTCAATTGGTCTGTCAGTTGGTCTGTCAGTTGGTCTGTCAGTTGGTCTGTCAGTTGCTCTGTCAGTTGGTCTGTCAGTTGGTCTGTCGGTTGGTCTGTCAGTTGGTCTGTCGGTTGGTCTGTCAGTTGGTCTGTCAGTTGGTCTGTCAGTTGGTCTGTCAGTTGGTCGGTCAGTTGGTCTGTCAGTTGGTCTGTCGGTTGGTCTGTCAGTTGGTCTGTCAGTTGGTCTGTCGGTTGGTCTGTCAGTTGGTCTGTCAGTTGGTCTGTCAGTTGGTCGGTCAGTTGGTCTGTCGGTTGGTCTGTCGGTTGGTCGGTCAGTTGCTCTGTCAGTTGGTCTGTCAGTTGGTCTGTCAGATGGTCTGTCAGTTGGTCTGTCAGTTGGTCTGTCAGTTGGTCTGTCAGTTGGTCTGTCAGTTGGTCTGTCAGATGGTCTGTCAGTTGGTCTGTCAGTTGGTCTGTCAGATGGTCTGTCAGTTGGTCTGTCAGTTGCTCTGTCAGTTGGTCTGTCAGTTGGTCTGTCAGTTGGTCTGTCAGATGGTCTGTCAGTTGGTCTGTCAGATGGTCTGTCAGTTGGTCTGTCAGTTGGTCTGTCAGTTGGTCTGTCAGTTGGTCTGTCAGTTGGTCTGTCAGTTGGTCTGTCAGTTGGTCTGTCAGTTGGTCTGTCAGATGGTCTGTCAGTTGGTCTGTCAGTTGGTCTGTCAGTTGGTCTGTCAGTTGCTCTGTCAGTTGGTCTGTCGGTTGGTCTGTCAGTTGGTCTGTCAGTTGGTCTGTCAGATGGTCTGTCAATTGGTCTGTCAGTTGCTCTGTCAGTTGGTCTGTCGGTTGGTCTGTCGGTTGGTCTGTCAGTTGGTCTGTCAGTTGGTCGGTCAGTTGGTCTGTCAGTTGGTCTGTCAGTTGGTCTGTCAGTTGGTCTGTCAGTTGGTCTGTCAGTTGGTCTGTCGGTTGGTCTGTCAGTTGGTCTGTCGGTTGGTCTGTCAGTTGGTCTGTCAGTTGGTCTGTCCGTTGGTCTGTCAGTTGGTCTGTCAGTTGGCCTGTCAGTTGGTCTGTCAGATGGTCTGTGAGTTGGTCTGTCGGTTGGTCTGTCAGTTGGTCTGTCAGTTGGTCTGTCGGTTGGTCTGTCAATTGGTCTGTCAGTTGGTCTGTCAGTTGGTCTGTCAGTTGGTCTGTCAGTTGGTCTGTCAGTTGGTCTGTCAGTTGGTCTGTCGGTTGGTCTGTCAGTTGGTCTGTCGGTTGGTCTGTCAGTTGGTCTGTCAGTTGGTCTGTCAGTTGGTCTGTCAGTTGGTCGGTCAGTTGGTCTGTCAGTTGGTCTGTCGGTTGGTCTGTCAGTTGGTCTGTCAGTTGGTCTGTCGGTTGGTCTGTCAGTTGCTCTGTCAGTTGGTCTGTCAGTTGGTCGGTCAGTTGGTCTGTCAGTGGGTCTGTCAGTTGGTCTGTCAGTTGGTCGGTCAGTTGGTCTGTCGGTTGGTCTGTCGGTTGGTCGGTCAGTTGCTCTGTCAGTTGGTCTGTCAGTTGGTCTGTCAGATGGTCTGTCAGTTGGTCTGTCAGTTGGTCTGTCAGTTGGTCTGTCAGTTGGTCTGTCGGTTGGTCTGTCGGTTGGTCGGTCAGTTGCTCTGTCAGTTGGTCTGTCAGATGGTCTGTCAGTTGCTCTGTCAGTTGGTCTGTCAGTTGGTCTGTCGGTTGGTCTGTCAGTTGGTCTGTCGGTTGGTCTGTCGGTTGGTCTGTCAGTTGGTCTGTCAGTTGGTCTGTCAGTTGGTCTGTCAGTTGGTCTGTCAGATGGTCTGTGAGTTGGTCTGTCGGTTGGTCTGTCAGTTGGTCTGTCAGATGGTCTGTCAGTTGCTCTGTCAGTTGGTCTGTCAGTTGGTCTGTCGGTTGGTCTGTCGGTTGGTCGGTCAGTTGGTCTGTCAGTTGGTCTGTCAGATGGTCTGTCAGTTGCTCTGTCAGTTGGTCTGTCAGATGGTCTGTCGGTTGGTCTGTCAGTTGGTCTGTCGGTTGGTCTGTCGGTTGGTCTGTCAGTTGGTCTGTCAGTTGTCTGTCAGTTGGTCTGTCGGTTGGTCTGTCAGTTGGTCTGTCGGTTGGTCTGTCAGATGGTCTGTCAGTTGCTCTGTCAGTTGGTCTGTCAGTTGGTCTGTCGGTTGGTCTGTCAGTTGGCCTGTCAGTTGGTCTGTCAGTTGGTCGTTCAGTTGGTCTGTCAGTTGGTCTGTCAGTTGGTCGGTCAGTTGGTCTGTCAGTTGTCTGTCAGTTGCTCTGTCAGTTGGTCTGTCAGTTGGTCTGTCGGTTGGTCTGTCAGTTGGCCTGTCAGTTGGTCTGTCAGTTGGTCTGTCAGTTGCTCTGTCGGTTGGTCTGTCGGTTGGTCTGTCAGTTGGTCTGTCAGTTGGTCTGTCGGTTGGTCTGTCAGTTGGTCTGTCAGTTGGTCTGTCAGTTGGTCTGTCAGTTGGTCTGTCAGTTGCTCTGTCGGTTGGTCTGTCGGTTGGTCTGTCAGTTGGTCTGTCAGATGGTCTGTCGGTTGGTCTGTCAGTTGGTCTGTCAGTTGTCTGTCAGTTGGTCTGTCGGTTGGTCTGTCAGATGGTCTGTCAGTTGGTCTGTCGGTTGGTCTGTCGGTTGGTCTGTCGGTTGGTCGGTCAGTTGCTCTGTCAGTTGGTCTGTCGGTTGCTCTGTCAGTGGGTCTGTCAGTTGGTCTGTCAGTTGGTCTGTCAGATGGTCTGTCAGATGGTCTGTCAGTTGGTCTGTCAGTTGGTCTGTCGGTTGGTCTGTCGGTTGCTCTGTCAGTTGGCCTGTCAGTTGGTCTGTCAGTTGCTCTGTCAGTTGCTCTGTCAGTTGGTCTGTCAGATGGTCTGTCAGTTGGTCTGTCAGTTGGTCTGTCAGATGGTCTGTCAGTTGGTCTGTCAGTTGGTCTGTCAGTTGGTCTGTCAGTTGGTCTGTCAGTTGGTCTGTCAGTTGCTCTGTCAGTTGCTCTGTCAGTTGGTCTGTCGGTTGGTCTGTCAGTTGGTCTGTCAGATGGTCTGTCAATTGGTCTGTCAGTTGCTCTGTCAGTTGGTCTGTCGGTTGGTCTGTCGGTTGGTCGGTCAGTTGGTCTGTCAGTTGGTCTGTCGGTTGGTCTGTCAGTTGGTCTGTCAGTTGGTCTGTCGGTTGGTCGGTCAGTTGCTCTGTCAGTTGGTCTGTCAGTTGGTCTGTCAGTTGCTCTGTCAGTTGGTCTGTCAGTTGTCTGTCAGATGGTCTGTCGGTTGGTCTGTCAGTTGGTCTGTCAGATGGTCTGTCAGTTGGTCTGTCAGTTGGTCTGTCAGTTGGTCTGTCAGTTGGTCTGTCAGTTGGTCTGTCAGTTGGTCTGTCGGTTGGCCTGTCAGCGGTTGGTCTGTCAGTTGGTCTGTCAGTTGGTCTGTCAGTTGGTCTGTCAGTTGGTCTGTCAGTTGGTCTGTCAGTTGGTCTGTCAGTTGGTCTGTCGGTTGGCCTGTCAGTTGGTCTGTCAGTTGGTCTGTCAGTTGGTCTGTCAGTTGGTCTGTCAGTTGGTCTGTCGGTTGGTCTGTCAGTTGGTCTGTCAGATGGTCTGTCAGTTGGTCTGTCAGTTGGTCTGTCAGTTGGTCTGTCAGTTGGTCTGTCAGTTGGTCTGTCGGTTGGTCTGTCAGTTGGTCTGTCAGATGGTCTGTCAGTTGCTCTGTCAGTTGCTCTGTCAGTTGGTCTGTCAGTTGGTCTGTCGGTTGGTCTGTCAGTTGGTCTGTCAGTTGGTCTGTCAGTTGCTCTGTCAGTTGCTCTGTCAGTTGCTCTGTCAGTTGGTCTGTCAGTTGGTCTGTCAGTTGGTCTGTCAGTTGGTCTGTCAGATGGTCTGTCAGTTGCTCTGTCAGTTGGTCTGTCAGTTGGTCTGTCAGATGGTCTGTCAGTTGGTCTGTCAGATGGTCTGTCAGTTGGTCTGTCAGTTGGTCTGTCGGTTGGTCTGTCAGTTGGTCTGTCAGTTGGTCTGTCGGTTGGTCTGTCAGTTGGTCTGTCGGTTGGTCTGTCAGTTGGTCTGTCAGATGGTCTGTCAGTTGGTCTGTCAGTTGGTCTGTCAGTTGGTCTGTCAGTTGGTCTGTCAGTTGGTCTGTCAGTTGCTCTGTCAGTTGCTCTGTCAGTTGGTCTGTCAGTTGGTCTGTCAGTTGGTCTGTCAGTTGGTCTGTCAGATGGTCTGTCAGTTGGTCTGTCAGTTGGTCTGTCAGTTGGTCTGTCGGTTGGTCTGTCGGTTGGTCTGTCAGTTGGTCTGTCAGTTGGTCTGTCGGTTGGTCTGTCAGTTGGTCTGTCAGTTGGTCTGTCAGTTGGTCTGTCAGTTGGTCTGTCAGTTGGTCTGTCAGTTGGTCTGTCAGTTGGTCTGTAGTTGGTCTGTCAGTTTGGTCTGTCGGTTGGTCTGTCAGTTGGTCTGTCAGTTGGTCTGTCAGTTGGTCTGTCAGTTGGTCTGTCAGTTGGTCTGTCAGATGGTCTGTCAGATGGTCTGTCGGTTGGTCTGTCGGTTGGTCTGTCAGTTGGTCTGTCAGTTGGTCTGTCGGTTGGTCTGTCAGTTGGTCTGTCAGTTGGTCTGTCGGTTGGTCTGTCAGTTGGTCTGTCAGTTGGTCTGTCAGATGGTCTGTCAGATGGTCTGTCGGTTGGTCTGTCGGTTGGTCTGTCAGTTGGTCTGTCAGTTGTCTGTCAGTTGGTCTGTCGGTTGGTCTGTCAGTTGGTCTGTCGGTGGTTGGTCTGTCAGTTGGTCTGTCAGTTGGTCTGTCGGTTGGTCTGTCGGTTGGTCTGTCGGTTGGTCTGTCAGTTGTCTGTCGGTTGGTCTGTCGGTTGGTCTGTCGGTTGGTCTGTCGGTTGGTCTGTCAGTTGCTCTGTCAGTTGGTCTGTCAGATGGTCTGTCAGATGGTCTGTCGGTTGGTCTGTCAGTTGGTCTGTCAGTTGTCTGTCAGTTGGTCTGTCGGTTGGTCTGTCAGTTGGTCTGTCGGTTGGTCTGTCAGTTGGTCTGTCAGATGGTCTGTCGGTTGGTCTGTCGGTTGGTCTGTCGGTTGGTCTGTCGGTTGCTCTGTCAGTTGGTCTGTCAGTTGGTCGGTCAGTTGCTCTGTCAGTTGGTCTGTCAGTTGCTCTGTCAGTTGCTCTGTCAGTTGGTCTGTCGGTTGGTCTGTCAGTTGGTCTGTCAGTTGTCTGTCGGTTGGTCTGTCGGTTGGTCTGTCGGTTGGTCTGTCAGTTGGTCTGTCAGTTGGTCTGTCAGTTGGTCTGTCAGATGGTCTGTCAGATGGTCTGTCGGTTGGTCTGTCAGTTGGTCTGTCAGTTGTCTGTCAGTTGGTCTGTCGGTTGGTCTGTCAGTTGGTCTGTCGGTTGGTCTGTCAGTTGGTCTGTCAGTTGGCCTGTCAGTTGGTCTGTCGGTTGGTCTGTCGGTTGCTCTGTCAGTTGGTCTGTCAGTTGGTCGGTCAGTTGCTCTGTCAGTTGGTCTGTCAGTTGGTCTGTCAGTTGGTCTGTCAGTTGGTCTGTCGGTTGCTCTGTCAGTTGGTCTGTCAGTTGGTCTGTCGGTTGCTCTGTCAGTTGGTCTGTCAGTTGGTCGGTCAGTTGGTCTGTCAGTTGGTCTGTCAGTTGGTCTGTCAGTTGCTCGGGCAGTTGGTCTGTCGGTTGGTCTGTCAGTTGGTCTGTCAGATGGTCTGTCAGTTGGTCTGTCAGTTGGTCTGTCAGTTGGTCTGTCAGATGGTCTGTCAGTTGGTCTGTCAGTTGCTCGGGCAGTTGGTCTGTCGGTTGGTCTGTCAGTTGCTCTGTCAGTTGCTCTGTCAGTTGGTCTGTCAGTTGGTCTGTCAGTTGCTCGGGCAGTTGGTCTGTCAGTTGGTCTGTCAGTTGCTCGGGCAGTTGGTCTGTCGGTTGGTCTGTCAGTTGCTCTGTCAGTTGCTCTGTCAGTTGGTCTGTCAGTTGCTCGGGCAGTTGGTCTGTCGGTTGGTCTGTCAGTTGCTCTGTCAGTTGCTCTGTCAGTTGCTCTGTCAGTTGGTCTGTCAGTTGGTCTGTCAGTTGGTCTGTCAGATGGTCTGTCAGTTGGTCTGTCAGTTGCTCTGTCAGTTGGCCTGTCAGTTGGTCTGTCGGTTGGTCTGTCAGTTGGTCTGTCAGTTGGTCTGTCAGTTGGTCTGTCAGTTGGTCTGTCAGTTGGTCTGTCAGATGGTCTGTCAGTTGGTCTGTCAGTTGCTCTGTCAGTTGGTCTGTCAGTTGGCCTGCGCATAAGCAAATGACCTCTGTTTTCCCTTCACTTGGAATCTCTCGTTATGTCTCTTCGTTACTATGGATATATTTATCTATTAGTTTAACGTTCTGTCAGTCAATACAAGGTTAAGCGAGGTTAATAAATGTTTTATTATGACTCTCGTCTGTGTCTTTACCAATGCTTTTGAGATATTTGTGAAGTATGTTCATGTCCGACTTGGTTTTGTGTGATACACGCTGAGGACAGATTGTCATGGTAACGGTCCGAGGTGGGAAAATATCAGACCGGTAATCAGCCAATCAGAGCGCGCGTACGGTCCAAGTCATATAATAAACTGGTAATAACATATCTTGCGTTATTTGTTTGATTAATATTTGACGTAAGCCCCCGCTGAAAGATCAAGGCTGTGCTCTCACCGACAGAGAGGCCTTCTGTGGACCCTCCACCTGCAGGAGGAGGTTGCAGTGAGGAGCAGTGAGGACCAGGAGGAGCAGTGAGGAGCAGTGAGGAGCAGTGAGGAGCAGTGAGGAGCAGGAGGAGCAGTGAGGAGCAGTGAGGAGCAGGAGGAGCAGTGAGGAGCAGGAGGAGCAGTGAGGAGCAGTGAGGACCAGGAGGATCAGTGAGGATCAGTGAGGAGCAGTGAGGAGCAGTGAGGAGCAGTGAGGAGCAGTGAGGAGCAGGAGGAGCAGTGAGGAGCAGGAGGAGCAGTGAGGTCCAGGAGGATCAGTGAGGAGCAGTGAGGATCAGTGAGGAGCAGTGAGGAGCAGTGAGGAGCAGGAGGAGCAGTGAGGAGCAGGAGGAGCAGTGAGGAGCAGTGAGGACCAGGAGGATCAGTGAGGAGCAGGAGGAGCAGTGAGGAGCAGTGAGGATCAGGAGGAGCAGTGAGGAGCAGTGAGGAGCAGTGAGGAGCAGTGAGGAGCAGGAGGAGCAGTGAGGAGCAGTGAGGAGCAGTGAGGATCAGTGAGGAGCAGGAGGAGCAGTGAGGAGCAGTGAGGATCAGTGAGGACCAGGAGGAGCAGTGAGGAGCAGTGAGGAGCAGTGAGGAGCAGTGAGGAGCAGGAGGAGCAGTGAGGAGCAGGAGGAGCAGTGAGGAGCAGTGAGGAGCAGTGAGGATCAGTGAGGAGCAGTGAGGAGCAGGAGGAGCAGTGAGGAGCAGGAGGAGCAGTGAGGACCAGGAGGATCAGTGAGGAGCAGGAGGAGCAGTGAGGAGCAGTGAGGATCAGGAGGAGCAGTGAGGAGGAGTGAGGAGCAGGAGGAGCAGTGAGGAGCAGTGAGGAGCAGTGAGGATCAGTGAGGAGCAGGAGGAGCAGTGAGGAGCAGTGAGGATCAGTGAGGACCAGGAGGAGCAGTGAGGAGCAGTGAGGAGCAGTGAGGAGCAGGAGGAGCAGTGAGGAGCAGTGAGGATCAGTGAGGAGCAGGAGGAGCAGTGAGGAGCAGTGAGGATCAGTGAGGACCAGGAGGAGCAGTGAGGAGCAGGAGGAGCAGTGAGGAGCAGTGAGGATCAGGAGGAGCAGTGAGGAGCAGGAGGAGCAGTGAGGAGCAGTGAGGAGCAGTGAGGATCAGTGAGGAGCAGGAGGAGCAGTGAGGAGCAGTGAGGATCAGTGAGGACCAGGAGGAGCAGTGAGGAGCAGTGAGGAGCAGTGAGGAGCAGTGAGGAGCAGTGAGGAGCAGGAGGAGCAGTGAGGAGCAGTGAGGATCAGTGAGGAGCAGGAGGAGCAGTGAGGAGCAGTGAGGATCAGTGAGGACCAGGAGGAGCAGTGAGGACCAGGAGGAGCAGTGTGAGTGGTGCTCTGTGAATTGAGTGACAGCTGATTGCCACCACCCCGACCCTTTAGAACGAATGTAGATTTTGTTAACTTAGAATATTTACGTTACCGTCACTTTAAGAGAGAGAGAGGGGAGCGAGTGGAGCTGAAAGAGCATGTAACTTTTTGCAGGTGAAGAAATGAGCCATACGGTTTTCTTACCGTTGTTACTTCATTTCAGAGACAACTCAGCAAATATCATTTAGTGTTCAAGAGTTCAAGCTGTGGAAAACATGTTTTTTGTTTATTCTTTTACACAGAGTCCCGAGGGAGTGTTTGCTCTTTGTAAAGTAACACGAGTGAGCCCTGTGGAAACTGCTACACAGGAAACTAACGCTGCACCTGATAGACCCAAATACTGTGTAACGCTACGTTCTGTCTCCGTTTTTAGTGGCTAGATGAACACCCGTTTAATTGTGATTTGTACATTTTGATTTACTTGTAAATGAGTTTCTAATAATTAACTTTAAACACCTTTTTCTTATTGGTTTGGTTGCTATGTAGTTCTTGGTTCATTTGGTTGCTGTGCGTGGTTGCTAGGCAGCAGAAGGTTCTCTAATGTAAACATGCCTGTTAACAGTTAGTAACAGTTTGCTACTGTCTCCATATGGAAGATTTTTTGTGTCATCAGATTTTGAATTTTTTTTAGCTTGAATTCTTCAGTTTGAAATGTTTAACCCTGAAAAAGCAAGTTTGAATATTTTTATCTTTACATTTCAGTCACTAAAAATTCAGTTTACAAATTTCAATGTGATTAAAATTTCAAAATGACACATTCACCCACAAAATATTAAAAAAAAAAAATTCAATGAAAAAAAAAAGACTGATTATTTGTTTTATCAGAAATTGAATTTTAAATGGACCTGAATTCATCTATTTGAATGTTTTTAACATCTTGAATATTTTTTTCTGTGAATTTTAGTCACTGATTATCAATTTCATAATGTTAAATTCAACAGTCAAAATTCAACGAGAAAAAATTCAATGGTGAAAAATGCACATGACACATCCGGTGTTCTGACGAGTTATGTGCTCTGTCAGTTGGTCTGCGCATAATGAACTCTGTTTTCTCTTCACTGACGTTGGAATCTCTCGTTATCTACATTAGACCCTTTAGAAAGAGAGAATTTCGCTTTGTTTACGGAGCGAGTGGAGCCGAAAGTAACTTTTCACAGCTCAAGAAATAAGCAGCCATACGGTGTTCTTACCGTTGTTACTTTATTTCAGAGACAACTCAGCAAATATCATTTAGTGTTCAAGAGTTCAAGCTGTGGAAAACATGTTTTTTGTTAATTCCTTTACATGGAGCTCTTTTTCAAGTAACACGAGTGAGCCCTGTAGAAACTGCTACACGGGAAACTAGACCCGAATATCAAGGACCCTGTCCTTTGTTGCTATAAATGTCCTGTCCCTCACCTCCTCCACAGAGTCCAGGGGCCTCCTGTCCCTCACCTCCTCCACAGAGTCCAGGGGCCTCCTGTCCCTCACCTCCTCCACAGAGTCCAGGGGCCTCCTGTCCCTCACCACCTCCACAGAGTCCAGGGGCCTCCTGTCCCTCACCTCCTCCACAGAGTCCAGGGGCCTCCTGTCCCTCACCTCCTCCACAGAGTCCAGGGGCCTCCTGTCCCTCACCTCCTCCACAGAGTCCAGGGGCCTCCTGTCCCTCACCTCCTCCACAGAGTCCAGGGGCCTCCTGTCCCTCACCTCCTCCACAGAGTCCAGGGGCCTCCTGTCCCTCACCTCCTCCACAGAGTCCAGGGGCCTCCTGTCCCTCACCTCCTCCACAGAGTCCAGGGGCCTCCTGTCCCTCACCTCCTCCACAGAGTCCAGGGGCCTCCTGTCCCTCACCTCCTCCACAGAGTCCAGGGGCCTCCTGTCCCTCACCTCCTCCACAGAGTCCAGGGGCCTCCTGTCCCTCACCTCCTCCACAGAGTCCAGGGGCCTCCTGTCCCTCACCTCCTCCACAGAGTCCAGGGGCCTCCTGTCCCTCACCTCCTCCACAGAGTCCAGGGGCCTCCTGTCCCTTACCTCCTCCACAGAGTCCAGGGGCCTCCTGTCCCTCACCTCCCTCATTTTTACAATAACCTGTCTACAAGTCCTGTATTAAAGGATCAACCTGGCTCGTGAAGACCGAGTTTGGCTTGCTGTTGATTTACGTTAACATACTCCACGTATACAACGCGTATTGAGAACAGTACACGCTACAATAACACTGTACTTTGTCTATAAATGTTCAACATGTGATGGTTTTCCTGAACACACACAGCCTAAATAAATAAACAGGAATATACAGAAATAATGATTTGAAACAAGTACATTCACCCATAATGTTCAAAAGACTAACTCCTCAAATTAATGTAGTATCATCTTATCACCTTGGATCCATCACAATCCATTCATTAGAAATCCCATTTCAACCTGATTCATGTTATCAACCCATAGACCTGCTACGCCTGTCTTTACCTCAGGTCAGGAGGCCCCTGGACTCTGTGGAGGAGGTGAGGGACAGGAGGCCCCTGGACTCTGTGGAGGAGGTGAGGGACAGGAGGCCCCTGGACTCTGTGGAGGAGGTGAGGGACAGGAGGCCTCTGGACTCTGTGGAGGAGGTGAGGGAAAGGAGGCCCCTGGACTCTGTGGAGGAGGTGAGGGACAGGAGGCCCCTGGACTCTGTGGAGGAGGTGAGGGACAGGAGGTGCTAGCCAAAGCCACCTCCATCATGAACAACACCTCCCACTGCACAGGACTGAGGAGGAGCTGAGGAGCTCCTTCAGTGGAAGACTGAGGCACCCTCAGTGTAGGAAGGAGCAGGGCCTTTATCCCCACTGCTGTCAGACTGTACAATAAGTCACTTTAAGTCACTGTATAACTGCTAATTTTGTAAATTCCCTGTAAGACTGAAAAAAAACCTGCACAACTATTGACACTGTTTCTGATTGTCACTTTATTGTACATATACATATATATCCTGCATGTAACATGTTTGCACATTTCCTCCTTTTGCACAATCTGAGTGTCTCTATCCATGACAAATGTGACATGTACATTTCCCCTTGTGAGATAAATAAAGCACATCTTATCTTATCCTATCTTAAAATGGCGCATGCCCAGACCAACTGACAGAGCAACTGACAGAGCAACTGACAGACCAACTGACAGAGCACAAAACTCGTCAGAACACCGGATGTGTCATGTGAATTATTCACCATTGAATTTTTTCGTTGCAAATTTAGGCTGTTGAATTTAAATGAAAAACATTATGAAATTGATCAGTGACTGAAATTCTCAGACAAAATTATTCAAGATGTTAAAAAAAATCCAATAGATGAATTCAGGTCCATTTAAAATCCAATTTCTGATGGAACAAATAATTTGTCTTTTTTTTATTGAAAATTATATAAAATACTTTGAAGGTGAATTTGTCATTTTGAAATTTTAATCACATTGACATTTTAGTGACTGAAATCTAGAGACAAAATTGTTCAAATATGCTTTTTCAGGGTAAAAAAATTCAATAGTAAAAATTCAAGCTCATTTAAAATTAAAAATCTGATGACACAAAAATCTCATAGTTCTTGACTATTTATGTTTGGTAAAGGGCGAAAATGGCTAATTTGATAATGAAGGTTGCCAACCAATAGGAATTCTGTGGCCGTGACAAAAATCAGGAGGGTGCTGAAGTGCAGAGAGGTGGGGTTAGTTTAATTGTTCAATGGGAAGTCTAACTGTAGAGGAGGATCTTTGTTTACACCCGTGTCTGCATGCGCCCCTCGCTGGGTGGCAAGAAGACAGAGCGGCACATACTGAAGCATGGATGCAACGACTCAGTGGGCGAATAGCACTGTATATAAGCACTTTAACAATAGCACTGTATATAAGCACTTTAACAATAGCACTGTATATAAGCACTTTAACAATAGCACTGTATATAAGCGCTTTAACAATAGCACTGTATATAAGCGCTTTAACAATAGCACTGTATATAAGCACTTTAACAATAGCACTGTATATAAGCACTTTAACAATAGCACTGTATATAAGCACTTTAACAATAGCACTGTATATAAGCACTTTAACAATAGCACTGTATATAAGCACTTTAACAATAGCACTTTATATAAGCACTTTAACAATAGCACTTTATATAAGCACTTTAACAATAGCACTGTATATAAGCACTTTAACAATAGCACTGTATATAAGCACTTTAACAATAGCACTGTATATAAGCACTTTAACAATAGCACTGTATATAAGCACTTTAACAATAGCACTGTATATAAGCACTTTAACAATAGCACTGTACATAAGCACTTTAACAATAGCACTGTATATAAGCACTTTAACAATAGCACTGTATATAAGCACTTTAACAATAGCACTGTATATAAGCACTTTAACAATAGCACTGTATATAAGCACTTTAACAATAGCACTGTATATAAGCACTTTAACAATAGCACTGTACATAAGCACTTTAACAATAGCACTGTATATAAGCACTTTAACAATAGCACTGTATATAAGCACTTTAACAATAGCACTGTATATAAGCACTTTAACAATAGCACTGTATATAAGCACTTTAACAATAGCACTGTATATAAGCACTTTAACAATAGCACTGTATATAAGCACTTTAACAATAGCACTGTATATAAGCACTTTAACAATAGCACTGTATATAAGCACTTTAACAATAGCACTGTATATAAGCACTTTAACAATAGCACTGTATATAAGCACTTTAACAATAGCACTGTATATAAGCGCTTTAACAATAGCACTGTATATAAGCACTTTAACAATACCACTGTATATAAGCGCTTTAACAATAGCACTGTATATAAGCACTTTAACAATAGCACTGTATATAAGCGCTTTAACAATAGCACTGTATATAAGCGCTTTAACAATAGCACTGTATATAAGCGCTTTAACAATAGCACTGTATATAAGCACTTTAACAATAGCACTGTATATAAGCACTTTAACAATAGCACTGTATATAAGCGCTTTAACAATAGCACTGTATATAAGCGCTTTAACAATAGAACTGTATATAAGCACTTTAACAATAGCACTGTATATAAGCACTTTAACAATAGCACTGTATATAAGCACTTTAACAATAGCACTGTATATAAGCACTTTAACAATAGCACTGTATATAAGCGCTTTAACAATAGCACTGTATATAAGCACTTTAACAATAGCACTGTATATAAGCACTTTAACAATAGCACTGTATATAAGCACTTTAACAATAGCACTGTATATAAGCGCTTTAACAATAGCACTGTATATAAGCACTTTAACAATAGCACTGTATATAAGCGCTTTAACAATAGCACTGTATATAAGCACTTTAACATATAGCACTGTATATAAGCGCTTTAACAATAGCACTGTATATAAGCACTTTAACAATAGCACTGTATATAAGCACTTTAACAATAGCACTGTATATAAGCACTTTAACAATAGCACTGTATATAAGCACTTTAACACATAGCACTGTATATAAGCGCTTTAACAATAGCACTGTATATAAGCACTTTAACAATAGCACTGTATATAAGCACTTTAACAATAGCACTGTATATAAGCGCTTTAACAATAGCACTGTATATAAGCGCTTTAACAATAGCAGATCAGAGGAGATATAAAGACAAGCCACAAATAAGTATATGAGACCAAACTGAACCAGGCTAAAGCCCAGATGAGACCGGGGATGACAAGAAAAACATTGGTCAGACTCACCTCTGTCTTGGCACCGATCTGCTGGGACTGGGACTCGGAGACATTTATTCTTTCTTCATAGAAAACTTGGGACCCTTCACTCAAGAAGGGTCCGTGGTGAAAATCCATTTCTCGTGTTTTTCACTGCGGTAAAGTGGCCCGGAATTTTGCCACAGATTAAGCGGGTCGTAACTTTACGTTACGGTAAAGGTGGAACAGGAAGCCGCAGGGATGAGCAACCAAAATGCAATGTTTTTCCCATTGGGTTTTTTAAGAGTTGTTCCTTGTGGATGCAGGAGGGTCTTGTTGGACAGTTAGTGTCCAACAGAAAGGATTGGTGATGATCAGGACACTTTAGCATTCTACAACATGTATGGACATTTTCTTCTGTGTGTGCTTTATATTCTTCATGTGTTTTAACTGTTGATTCTCTGACCTGTGTTGGTGATTTCAATGGTTTTGTTAAGTCTCTGAGATGACTTCTGTTGTGACCTAGGGCTATACAACAATACATTGTATTGTATTGTATTGTATTGTATCATCATTCATGAATGAGTGAACAAGTGTGCAGAGAAAGTAGTTGCAAAACTTACATTTGTTAATGATTTTTTTTATCCCCTCATCCTCCCAGCTTCTTGTTCTACATTTACCGTAGGTAACAGCATAAAAGGACAACCACTTTACCGTGGCCACTGTTATTTTCCGAAAGACTTAGGAAAAAAACCTAATCTGTCCCCAGCGGGCCGTACAACCGACCACACAACAACAACGGACCATTTGATTTAGTAAAACCTCTCTCCAAACGTCTGAAAATAGCTAACTCTGTAGCATCTGTAGCTTTCTCTGCTGTAGTGCCACCCGCTCACAACGACGTCACTCCAAGATCCTCCTGTTTTAACCCTTTAAAGGCGCTATACCCGTTTCTGCAATGTTTGATTGTTTAGCACCGCCCCCAACTCGCTCACAGGCTTCTCATTTCCCCTACGCTCTCATCCCACGGAGCCACCTAGTTTTATTTGCGATCTGATACATATGCTAACATTAGCATTAGCGCCACTTCTTGTAGCTGTGCAACAATCACTGATGAAATGACACTAAAGCATCGCACTGCTAACACAATATATAAGTAAAAGAATACCGCTAGTTTCGCGTCCGGATGTATTAATTTAAAACATTAGAATATATTCTAATATTTAATTATAATTTGTTATAGAGCTCCTCAAAGCAGAAGAACTCCATTGACTTGAATGCAATTCTTCCGATCATTTTTTCTTGATAACAGAACTCGCAAACCAATAATGACCGAAGCCCCAATGCAATCTCTGTTTGCGCCT